AATATTGAGTAATCCTGTACATTCCATCGATTTTACTGTACGTCATTGTTTTGTCTTATGTGCTCAGAGATTAGCAGCTAGAGGCAATTCCAGGTGACATTGGGCAAAGGCACCGTCACCAGTTCATAATGTGGAATAATATAAGGTGCGCGTCCTCTGCACTGAAATAGCGTCCTCTGGGAACGCTATTTCAGTGAAACAGATATATTTGTTTTAAATGGCAGTTTGTTGTTACAGTGAATGTTAGTCAACGTTAGTCCTACAGCAGTTGAAAAAAAACAAGGTAGGACTTTTACTGCACAAGTTAAATAGATGATTTATATAAAAAATAATACTATATAAATTTGTTACAAATATGGAACGCTTACACTGGGGCTGAATTCTCATTCCTGGCCAACCGTTCAAGTTCTTGACCAGTATATAATAGTGTGTCGCTGTGTTTTATTAGCTGGAGACCAGGGTTCAGGATGTGTTTCATTTAATTTGGCAAAATTGGAACAATTTCATTCTGAATAAAAATAAAAGAGTTGGTTTTATTACGGTTGGTATTTTGTTGTGATGGCGTGGCTCTGGGTCTGCTGACCCAGTTGTGGATAACAAACGAACACCAATGACAATAAGCTGACAAGAAAAAAGAATGAAAAATATCAAACACTATTCTGGTGTTTTGTCCACAAAAATGCAGCAGAATTTGGGGAAATAAACAAGGTTTGAAAGTGAAATTTCGACCTCAGGTCCTAGCCACGACTCGACATTAAACGCATGTTATGTTTTAAGAATTTAATGGTCACATAATGCTAATTACTATTCTGAAGTACTGTCTTTTTTTTTTTAATTGCACATGCCAACCTCACAGAGTGAGTTTCAGTTAATGAAATTATACTGCAACACTACGCAGCTACTCCATGGACTCAAGTACCATCTCTCCAACAACTACTGGCGTGTGTGTTAAAACTGTCCATTGTTCCATGGAAACACTGTAGAAAATGGTACTGCCCTAGTACTACACGTATACTTTACAACCTGCTGTGGCTCTCAAATACAAATCGTAAAGGTCCACAAAGACATTCTTAACAAGTCAATGGTCAGACAGAGTGGGGGGGCGGGGGGTGGGGGGGTTAGGAACATAGTTGTGCTCATGCACTTGACATTTGAGAATTATTACCACTGGTCAAGGCACCAGCCATAACAGTGTCCTATTTATAACGAATGTTCTTTTTACTATAAATTTTGTTACAAAAACGCATACTACCTTAAATGATTCCTATGCTAAATCATTTTCTTTTTTAAAAAAAATCTGTTTACAGACGATCAATTTGACACTGTAGGAATGTCGAAGTGTAGCGCAGCGGCATCAGTGAGTGTGTCTCACACTCTGTCCACCACATATTGAGCAGTGATGACCACCGAGTCCCACCAGGGCCGTTGGCCCAGCTGGTGAGATGATGGCACACAGACACAGCCCTGGGCTCAACGACGCCTCCTTCTTTCTAAAAACAAACACTGGGTTCTGTCCTCACCTCACACACGCACCGTTCCACCACAGACCTTCCTCTTCACTGCTCTCCTCCACCTTATGTCTCCACAGACATTATAATTAGCCACACTGAGTAATTAACAGCCATATAGGAATGCTCATTTGCATATCCCTGCTCATTTACATACACTTGCAGCTGCACGCAGACCTGACGTTCCTCCGTACGGGCAGGAAATAGTGCTGAACGCAACATTTGCATGTGCAAATAAGAGAAAGAGTTAAAGAAAGAAAACAAATGCAGGGGGAAAGGACAGAAATCGGTCGCAAAATGAGCCACAGGAAGTAGCAGGAAGCTAAAATGGAGCAACTCACTTTTAGAAATTAGCAATCCAACTTCACACTGGGTTTTAAACATCCATTACATTCATGGCCTACATATTTCATTGTTGGCTCTAGGATTATGATGTTAAAAAAATGAGACTTCATGTGACAAGAAAAAAGATCAAAATAAATGATATATGAAAAGCCACCGTATGTGACCGACAACCAGGCAGGACAGACCCACGTTGACAGTATCAACGTGGGTCTGTTCATACATTGTGAGAGAATGTGAAGAGTCCAAGACCAAAAGTATCAACGTGGGTCTGTTCATACATTTCCAGCTCGTGAAATGAATTCGAGAGAGAGAACAGTAATCAGAGAGAGAGCTCATCAAACATGGAAAAATGGGATGAGAAAAACAACAGCATTCCCCTCGCATGTCATCAGCAGAGTGACACAGAAACGACAAAAGCAAGAAAGGAGGAGCACAGAGGGAGGAGAGGAAGGAATGGAAGATCTTTAAAAAAAAAAGAGCCAAGGAAGGTGAATCTCAGCTGGACATTCAGAGCAGTTCTCCACAGACATCGTTTCACCAGTCGTTGCACCAGAGAGAGGAAAGCCTGAGTTATGCCATTGTGCTCCACATTGCTTTCAAGATTTATGTGCCAGCCAGGATAATGCAGCTAGACGACTGTGTTGAAAAGACACCTATAAATCTGATCTTGTTTGGGTTTGTTTTTTTTTTTTTCTTCTTCTTCTTTTGGCTCCCATTCTTTCTCCTTCAACGCCGCTCCAATCCCCTCAGTCTGCTTTCTCTGGCAATCATCTGCCCCCGTCTGCATCCCGACTTCTGTTTCTAAAGGTATTCAGAAGTCAGCTTTTGTCTTATGTAAATACTGTATTCTGCTGAGCTTGTAAAGACTGCCAATACAAAACACAACTGGGTAACTCGCTCTGTGGCTTTTTGTGAAAGTCTGTCGACACAGAGGCCTTGAGCTTCTCATTTTAAGACCTTAACTGGGGAAAAAAACGGTTGACAGAACAATAGCGTGGCTCTGCAAATCTTTGCAGATGACAAGGAGTTTCTTTTTTTTTTTCCTCTCTCTTACTGATTTAAAGTTAATTCAGCCTTTTCACATAATGACCAGACTGTAATCCTCTGCACTGTATTGTCACTGACAGCAGTCTGTGGGGACACAGTATATAATATACCCTTGAAAACCTCATGAGTCATTGAAAAGGCTGCTGAAAGCAGACCATTCCCTGCAGTTTGACTGAACCGTGTCAGCTGGGTTTAGACCAGCCGGCTTCACTAAAGCATCTCAAAGCATTAGAGTGTAGTAATCTTTTTTTTACTCGGTTTAACTTGACCTTGTCAGAACCAGCTGACCTCCAAGATACTGTATAAAAGTCATGATATAAGTTAAATCAACGATCCTGACAATTAAGATGAGGAATTATCTTCCTACCTACAACCAATAAGACAAACCGGGACAAGTCAGTAGCCACTCATCACATCTCCCAGACTTCACCCTGTGGTGGTTATCAAGCAACCAAAGCCTTCGAGGTCTGTGATGGAACGGAACATAAAGAGTTCCACAGCTACAGACGAGGCTGACATTTTCTCTTAGCGAGTGAGGAACCTCACTCTGACGGGAGTTTTGTTCAGATTATCAGCCCCATTAATCATTTTGACTCAATCATGTGACCATGGTGCAGAAAAAAAAGATGCCACACTGCACTGAAACGTCCCATTCATGGCTGACACTCAGCTCCAGTGAGCGACGTTATCAGATCTGCAGGAGCACGCCAAGAAGAAGAAGAAGAAGAAAACAATTCAAGTAATAACTGCCATTGCCGTTTTATTTACCCTGCCGAGTGATCACTGCGTGTCATGGCAGAGCAACAACTGACAGCACACTGGATAGGAAAGAAAAAGAAAAAAAAATTGCAATTCTCATACAACCAGTGTCATCAGTGGCATGATTACCCAGGGGGCGCTAGATATGACAGAACACCTAACAACATGCATGTATTTCTACACACTGTCCAGAACTCTATTTGATCAAAGACTGATACCACTACAAGAACTGTCTTAAAGCAGTATTTTTCACAGTAATATTATAATAAATATATATATAAACTGTCAGCATAGTACACAAACTAAAATTGGAACATGAACATGTATTCACCTGACAACAAACCTAATTCGTTGATGCCTTGCTAAAAACCCAGGGAGTTCCGGTGCTTGCTCAACACACCACAGCCCAGTTTGGGATTCACACCAGTAATCCACCAATCACAGACCCAATCCTTCAAGGCACAAAGTCGGCCCAATCTGTAAACGTGACCTTTACCAGTGAAACGATTTCAAATTAAACTGAAGATAGCCACCGCAACTGTTCTCAGGATTATCAGGTTTGACTCATTAATAAATCAAATATTACAATAAGTCCAGTCCTCACACACTTTTTAATACACACATATATAGAGAGAGATCATTTTTATAAACAATCATCATGCAGTTGCCATTCCCTCCTCTGCAGTGGGTGTGCATGCACTGGTAAAAACAGTTTGAATTTATATAACTCTAATCCATTTGTTGTGGGCTGACTCTACTGCCCCCTNCTGACAGTCGTGAAAACGCAAAAGAACGAAAACGAGAAAGGAGAGCAGCTTTAAATGGCGAAATGGATTTCTTAAGGATTTTAAAAATTTGATTTGATTTAGTTTTTTTAGAATTCATGTACAAAAAAAGTCATAAAAAATAAAATGAAAATAAATTATTTCCTTAGCGTTTTATAACCGTTCTTTAGACGACATTGCGTTTGTTTATTTATTTTTTTAAAAATTATTTTAAAATGTTTGTGTTCTGATGTTGTTGTTTTCTATGGCTCTCCATGCTGCAGCCGTGCCCGGTGCATCCATCCCAGCACACACTGACAAACAGCATTCAGCACCTGCCGTCTTGACTGCTCCACCTGTCCGTCATTACATCAACCGTCCCTGACGCTCCACAAACATCACTTTACCAAACATCAGGCACGGGCTCAGCTTAGAAAAGGATGCACAGCCTCCCGAAAAAGTGCAAACGTATGACGGGGAAGTTGCCAATGAAGGAGCAAAGTCGACCAAGACAAACAGGGGGATGAGCAGATATAAATCTGTCACGGACCAAGTTGTTCTTTCTTATCCGTCCTACCTTTTCCGCCCACAGTGCGAGATTGGCCCAGGATGAGAGAAAAGAGCCAGAAACAGAGCCAGGGTATCGGCATGATGCTGGAGGTGATGGAGCTGTGTGTGCTGGGGCTGCTCTGAAGTCTCCGCGTCCTTTCTCCTCTTCTCTCCTCTTCCCAAATCCCGGATCACCTGCTCCGACACTGAGAGGAGCTGCTGAGCTGCTGCCAGAGAGAGAGGGGGCAGTAGGGAGGTTCTGAAGGGCGAGAGACATTCATGAGAACTGAGGAGGAGAGAGAGAGCGCAGGAGAGAGAGTGAGAGAGGTGTAATCAGAGTCAATCGACTCGTGTTTCCGGTTACAGCCTTCCAAAATAAAAGATCGATATTACCTCTCCAACACGATACCGTGTCGATAAAACACGTCAAAGAAATGATACGGGTTTGACTTTGCAGAATATTTTATTTTGTTCATTTTTTATGTAGGGCGGAATTGTTTTTTTCTTTTGTTATAGAGATTTTATCTCAGCCAGTCCTTGTCTAGTAAAATAAAGACTATTTTCATGCACATATATACACATATATATATATATATATTATAAAAGAGAAATGTCGGATGAAGAACAGAAAGAGATAAAGTCAGATGGGTGTGGGAATAATGGGAATTTTATTGGTATTTTGAGTTGTGAAGAAAAGAAATGATCGGCAGCCGGTAAACAGGCTGCACCAATCGAAACGATGCTGCCAATCATCACAGTCCTCCAGAATATATTAACTACAGTTGTTGTTAAATCAATACGCCCCGTCGTTGTGACGAAGGACACACATCCTCCAAAAATGAATCAATGGCTGTTTTATTATGGGAGCCGTGGGGTTCACATACCTATACCTAAGCAGAGGGATTTAGGTTTAAAAAAAACAACTCCTGAATCAGCGATTCTGGATCTGCCATCTTCTCCATATGTTGGGTACAATTCCTCCCCCCAAAAAAGCCAAACCTGCATCCTCAAACACAGCCAGCTATAAATACTTTCCCCGACCCTTGCATATGTTATGGCACTTTTCAATATGGCCCAGGTGGAAGTGTTTTGTTGTAAGGTTGTAGCGGTTTTTAAATTATTTGTGTCTTCAATTATGTATAAGTGTTGAAGGAAACAGCATCTCTACAGCACCATTCCATATAGAGCATATTTTGGTAAATATTTCTTGCAGCAGTTTCCCTTTCATAATCAAATGAAGCTATTCTATGATGTGGTTCCATCTGTATCAGCCTAACCAGAGCCCAAACAGCACAGCTGCACTCCCCCTCACAGACTTGACTCTTTCAATTTCTCACCCTGTGGCGACGTCACAGTGTTTCACTTATTCTTCCCATGTTTTTTCTTTATTTTAGAGACGCAGGCGTGCGTTTGGGAGATTAGAGAGAGGGGGCAAACCTTAAGTGACTTAATAGGATAACAAAGATGGAACCCACATGCGGAACATACAGGAGCCATATTTACGACTACACAAGATCCGTCTTCTCCCAAATGGCTGTTTCCATGGATCAGCAGCTAAGATACTGCAGCCTGGGGAGCGGAGGGAATGCAGTGACCTCCTTTTTCCATTCTCCCTCCACAGTCACAGTCCCCTTTGTGATTGGAAAAATATCCCTCTAATTAACAAACAAGTTTAATAAGGTGTTCGTGATTGTCGGGAAGCGCTTGCCGGAGGATGGATTCGCTTTAAACTGTTGTAATCTGACTGGTGATTAGAGTTACGTCTATACGCGTTTTGTCAACTCACTGAAAAACTCAGTGGAAAATACTTTTGTTTTCTGTACTGCAGTTCAGGAATCAGTTACCGACTGCAATACAGAAGCACAATTAGTGTTCGACTAAGCTTCCTCCTTCCTCCTGACAAGCAGTTAACAACACTGGAACGAAAGGTTACCAGAAGTAAGTGGGTGTTTGATGCTACATCACCGTAAAGGTCAGCGCATTATTAAAGTGGCTTTCTGTTCAGGTCCAGGAAGACATTGTTGTCACCCACACAGACAGGAGATTTTATTCAAATTGTACTCGCGGTTATTTCTTTTTGAACGTAGCTCTGTAATGGGATTAGTAGGTGGCATAAATCTGGAGCGGCTTTGCTGTCTTTGAGAAGAGTTGTGATTTCAGCACGCTGGAGAGCTCCGTCTAATGACGTCCGCCTTCAACCACGAGGGGTCGCAGTTCAGTCGTATTTCAGCGCGGAACCCTAAAGCCGCGACTCCGCGACTGCACGGACTGGTTAGACTGTAACATCCATTGGCCTCAGAGAAATCTCAAGGTAAACACGGAATACTGTCCTTATTTTATTTAAACATTTTTCCTTATTCACTTTTCAGGTGCCATTTTTAATATTTTACAGTTAGCTCAATAACACGCTTTCATAAAACAAAGCTTTCAAAATAATCGAATAGACATTATTGTACGTTTTAAAATTTATTTTAAGCCACAATGTGTACAGTACATGACGGCTGACGTTATATAAACATCAAATGTTGGTCTACTGATTAAATCCTTGTAGATCTATGGAACAATATGATTTAGTGTTTACAGTATAAAGTCACTACTGCACATTATATTATTAGATTTAGTTTATTTAATTAAAAAAATCTAATTTAATTCTAATCTAATTTCATAGCACTCCTTTTGTAATGTACTGGTAGATCCTGATCTGTGCTGCTGTAATTCAAATTATAATGGAAATATTAGACAAGTTACGTCTGTGAGTTTGATTATTAATAACAGCTTTGATAAAGCCTGGTGTAAAAGAAAAGGTGTTTTTAATGATTTTAGTTTTAATTTCATTTTGAGCACAACAATAATGATCAGTTCATCTGGTGGATCCATCTGTGACGTTATAATGGCTCTCTTATATTTACATACGGTGTAAGTTAAATATACATACAGTCTCACTAATCAACACCCAGCTGGAGCTCGACTGAGGTGCCGGGCACTGTGGAGTGATCTTCACATTTCTTTCCTTATGTTTCTCTAACAGACTCTGAGATCATGTTGTGAGGTGGATCAACCAAGATGGCTCATCACCGTATTCCGCTGGTATTATTGGCCTGTGGCTCCTTTAACCCCATCACTAACCAGCATATGAGGCTGTTTGAGTTGGCCAAGGACCACATGCACCGCACAGGTCAGTCTAGGTCACTGCAGACACCAACTGTTGTTATGTCTTCATGAAAAGATAATGTCATTAAGAACCTGCTTTGTTGTTGTTGATTTTTAGGTTTGGCTGTTTCGTTTGTCTGAATTTTAGATAAACCCCCCAGGCCATTGCAGTCTGTTGGCTTCTAGACTCATACGGTTGTTTTTGGAAATCTGGGGAGGCAATAAGGGAGAGCAAATATTGATAGAACTCCCATCGAATGCTAAACATGGCCTTGTGTGGGTCTGATGTTAAAAAATAAAACTTGACAGCTTTATGCAGCAGCAACAGGGTTCTCTGTATGTTTGCGTGTTTATTTTAAACAGTTTTGTAGCCTCATAATCAATAAGCAGACATTTAAACACTCATCTGTTTTTCTCCCTGGATGTGGTTACAATATTTAATGCTGGGGTTACATGTGAAATTGATGCAACTCCTTTTCTCACATTCATATTTCACTTCATAATTAGTTTAATTAAATAGATGCATGGTATAATTTTCTGGGAACAGCAGTCAAATGAATAGGTAGCCTGAACGTGATGTAGCCGTGCTGTTAAAAAGTTAAGCCAAATAACGCAAGCAAAAGTTCTCAACTTGGTTTGAAAAGAAATCGGTATGAGAGGAATTCCATTCCAACTGGATTTATATCGTTCCAGATCAAACTTTACAATAATACAATTAATAATAATACAATCCACACTAAGTATCTGCCGCTGTTATAAGTAATTTTCTGCTAAGTGGGATTGTAATTTACAAAACATTGTTTTCTGTTCTAATGCTATGCCATTATCACCATACAGAACCGTTATTGAAACAATCACTTTCAGACCTTACCAGTCGATCACCGCTGCTTCAAAGCCTACACTTCTCATGTACCGTATGGTCTGTATTGGCCTCACGTGTGTTGCCACAAGCTGTGCTGTACCACAGCACTGTCATCATTTACCTTACATAAGGCCACGGCCATTTATATCTTGAACAGGAAAGAATGAGAGTACTGGTACGATCACATGTTCCTAATGACAACATTATACACTACACAGAGTTCTACGGGGTCACGGTTACTTCCTTCGTTGTAAGATGCTTTATGAGTCCATGCAGCATCTCATTGGGCCGTAACATAAATAATGCTCTTAATTTTCCCTTTGACCTTTTACCCAGAAGACCTCAGCTGACTGGTATGAGGGTAAACCTTCACCAATGGATCAGCTGTATAGAGAAGCTCTTTTTAACTCTGTTTTTTTTTCAAGCTTTGCATTTTGTGCAGATTGATCTCTTAACACTCAACAGAACCAATTTTAAGCGGTTTCTTGATCACGCAATCAGATTTGAGGTGTTTTGTGGTCCATCGAAACGTCTGAGGCTAAAAAAAAATGGAAATTAGTAATTATATTTCCACACAGAGGTTTAACAAAACAATAATTATTAGATAATTGCATCTTTTACAGATATTCCCTGTGAATCTGTAATCTGATTCGTATTGCTCTTCTGTGAAATATTGGCTGTTTTGACCCACTTAACTGTATAATCAACTCTTCCCTCCAGGCAAGTACCAGGTGGTGGGTGGCATCGTGTCTCCTGTGAGTGACAGCTATGGAAAACAAGGCCTGGTACCTTCTAAACACCGCATTGCTATGGCAAAGCTGGCACTGCAGAGCTCAAACTGGGTCAGGGTTGATGAATGGGAGAGTCAGCAGCAAGACTGGACGGAGACAGTGGTCACTTTGAGGTATAAATCTACTTTAGTGCAGGATCAGACTTAGAGCTGCTTCAGTTCTCAGGGTTAGTGAAAAAAAACAACATTCCACGACAGTTTCCAGGGTTCTGTAAGCAACACTCTCACCAGCAAACATTAACTATTGCATGTACAGTATCTATCAATTTAATTTAAAAGAAAATAAAATATGTTGTTTAAATTTCATTATCATGAAATAGAATTTTTTTTTTAATTGTCCAAATCCTGTGTGATCTAAAGCAATAGCATTTTATTGAATCCTAATATATTAGTGAAAAGTGTTACATGTATGGTTGAACATGTGGTTTAAAAGAAAACCAGCGTAGCTGCTCTGGGACTGTAGCTGTGGCTCAGAGGAGACGAAAAAATCCCCAGGCTGCGTCTGTGTTCTGTTCTTCCCCGTACGGTGAAGTGACAACACGAGTGCAGACAAAAAGCCATTACTTTGAGTCAACAGATGTGGGGAGATTAGATGAAGACAAAGTGCTGCTCCTCAATTCTTCAATCCAACCCTCTCCCTTTATTTTTATGGGACGCGTTGAATCCTGCGGTGCCGTTGGGAACGGACGTTGGTTACATGTGTGTCTTCTGATAACACACTGTAAAATGTTATTAATTTACAGTTTCTCACTTTATATAACAGGACTCAAAAGGTTGTTTTGTTTTGTGTGTTTGTTTTTTTTTAACCGTGTCCTTTACAATCATTTTTTTTATCCTCACTAGGACATCAGACAATTATTTGTTACCTTCTGACATGTCCCACTTTCACCGTTGCACCAGTAAAACTAATGGGGATGTTACACTCCTCTGTGGCTCCTGTACCACCCATCATTCACGCCACCAGCTTCCCCCAGCCTAAATTATGGTCTCCCGGGGATCGGCAGACTGGACCGGACCCGTGGCAGATCTGGGTCTTTCATGGGGTAAAACTCAGAAGTGTGGGCTGCTTTCATGGCCCACGTGGGAACAGTGTAGTTATAAAAAGCAGCCGGGGCTGTTCATGTGGGTGAAGAGGCAGAGACAGACACAGGTGCTGCATTTCTAATGAGAAGAAGTGAATCAGGAAATCCATGTGTGTGTGTGTGTGTGAGTGTGTGTCTTCCCACTTTGTGATACAGGGGTTAGTTGTGCAACTGTACTGTAGATTGTTTTGGGGTTTTTTTACTGTTGTGTCAACAAGGGAATTAATCAGCAGTAATAAAGTATATTTTGCACAACATCAGTCCACGCACACACATTTTATTTTCTAAATATATTCTCCACCTTCTGCAGTTTGTACAATCCTCTTATTAGTGCCCAGCCTCCTCTCTATTCCACACACACACTCACTCATAGGCATCTCTAAGCTGCATTTGTGTAACCAAGGCTGCAGATCCAGGTATAAAGTGGCCATTGTGAAGCCACGTCACACGTCATCTCATTCCTAAACACACACATACAAACACACAAAACTGCAAAGAAAAAAAAAAGTGTGAAAGCCCCTTTAAGGAGCTTTACTTGAGAACAGTAAAGGTTATTCTTCTTCTCTGTGAAGGTTCTTCTGTGTTTCCTTCAGTTTGATGCAGCGTCGATGGCAGATTTATAAAAAGCATATATAGAAAAATAAATAATAGTAAAAGTATATGTAAACATAAAAATGTACCTTATATATTTCATGGATGTACATAACAGAAAAATATATTTGTATTGTACTGTGTGGTACGTAGTATCGTCTGTTCTGTCTCTCACACCTCTGGTTTTGGACAGGCACCATTATGGACGTATTCTGGAGGAGTACAAGCAGAACACGGGAGCGCATACCAACTCCAGTGGTAACACAGCTCCCCTCACAAGTAAGAAGGTCTTCCTTTGGTTGGTTGGTTCACGCATGCAGAATTATAAAAGGACAAACTTTGTATTTTGTAAGAACATGTGAGAAATGTGCCAAAAAAAAACCATCTGTGTGAGAGGTTTTAGTGGGAGACATCGCAACAACAACATTTTACAGTGACAAAATATTATACAAAAAAAGGTTCAAAATCCGTTTAAAATAGACTTTATATTAAGAATGGAAGGATAAGGAAAAAACATCATATAATAGCAATTTTTTTTTTCTGTACAAGTCATTTCCTGGTCTAATAGAAGCCGGGTGAACAGGCATGGCTGCATCAGAAAAGGCATTCGGTGTAAAAACTGCCGTTATCACTATGCAGATTACCAAACTGACAAGGCATGAAGATGAGAACAACCAGAAAATGATTGTTCTGCCTTTCTGAGGGATGTTTTCCACTCACTTCACACCTGCCTCCGTTTGAGCCGTGCACTAATTACACCTGGGCTCAGCTTGGAGTCGAACTTTCTTTGTCGAGTTTATGGGGTTCAACCAGTTCCACTGAGATGTTTGCTGACACAACTTAGACCTTAGATCATTATGGTTTTGAATGTAAACTTTGGACTCACTGAAGTTTTCTCCCGCTGATCCTTTTTGCCATTCCTACAAACAGGAAAGACATCATTCCAATTTGCATTAAGGCTTAATTTTTATCTTAATATTAACATTAGCTAGTCATTTAGTTGTAAACTGACAGATGCTAGCGTCGCCATTTGATTTAACAATTTTTTGATTTTTTTTTAATTTTACAACGTTAGTTAAATCTAAAACCATGTACCATGTTGAAAAAAAGAATTAAAAAAGTTAAAAATATGCAGTCATGCAGTTTCCTTATCTATTTTATTGAACCTAGGGATGAATAAAAGTAGAAATATTACTAAATCTGTGAGACAATTATTATTAAATGAATCAAAGATTCATTCAAGAAAGGTTTTTCACTGAAGATGAATTTCTTTGATTTGTTCTTTTTAAAGCTGATTCATTTCATTTCCCATTTTAACTGTCTTTGTCCTCAGGTCCGTCTCTCAGTTTGAAGCTCCTATGTGGAGCCGACTTCCTCAACACATTCCAGATCCCAGGCCTGTGGCTGGATGAGCACGTGGACGAGGTCGCAGGGCAATTTGGCCTGGTCTGCATCAGCCGAGGTGGGCTGCAGCCCGAGCGGACGGTGCACGAGTCAGACATTCTCTCCCGACACCAACAGAACATTTACCTGGTGAAGGAGTGGGTGAAGAACGAGACGAGCGCCACTGAGATGCGGCGAGCTCTGCGGCGAGGCCTGAGTGTGAAGTATCTGATCCCAGACTGTGTGATCGACTACATTCACCAGCACAGCCTTTACACTGAGGACAGCGAGAGGAAGAACACGGGCGCGGTTTTGAGGCCGCTCACCAAGCAGGTGTATCAGCCGCCGGTGGACAGTGTGGACGACTGACTGATGGACTGCAGCGTCATGACCGAGCAGGAAAGGTGGAAACGCTCACAGATCAGTGGGTTTGGTTTTGTTTTGTTTTATTTTACATCACTGCTAGAGAGTGTACCTTCACAAAAAAACAAGAACTTTCCACCCAGTCAGGTTTTATTGGATTTAAATAACTAATATTTAGAGAACATCACAGCAGACGGCGTCTCCCTGATGTTTGCACACCTCACCAAACTTAATCAGTCAGAGGGAAAAGAGAAAAGGTCTGATGGTAAAATATTTGAATAATAAAATTGAAAAACTGATTCATGTGTGGGGGGAAAGTTGGCAACATCTAATAACAAAATCAGACAAGGTCAAAGAGATCACAGAGAAATCCTGAATATTTTCACTACTGTGAGAACTGAAACTGACTACCAAACATTTGTTCAACAGTGTCGCGGTGAAAAGGAAACTGAAACACCATAATTAAAGTTTAGTTTTCATCATGATTTAAACCTGTTGTCATGTGAGGGACATCACAGACGGTGGTTTCTGCATCATCTTTCAAATGAACTGTTCAAGAAGTGTCCCCATAGCTACCGTAAAAGCCCTAAATATGTGAGTGTGCTCCAAAAACAGTCAAAACTGATAGATTTTTACTTCAAATGTCAATATTAGATCTAATTATTGCAGCTAACGCTGGCAATTTGGCAGAAAGCAGTGGTGTAAAGTTGTTAAATAACTCCAGATAAGCTCTGATGTCTTCTGGCTCCTGGCCCTAAAATTGAATTTCAATTTTGGACGGCCGTGATCTGCTGTATTATCATCTCCACACTGTGTGACTACAGGGCTGATTTTGTCAGAATTAACAGTCGCTCAGGTGCAGGAGGCGTTTTCTCACTGAGCCTTTTGGCTCCACGCAGCACTGTGTTACTGATACACTCTGGCATCCTCTGAAAGAGGCGTCTGCGTTCGTGTGCTCCACTCACTGAAGGATTCAGACGGCGGATCGGCGGCGTTGGGTCCAAAAGAGAGATTATCAAATTAATGTAGCCACTTAGCTGAGACAAAAAGATGCAACGGGCTTTTTGTGATGCGTTTAATTGCCGCAGCCTGATAATAATAAGCTCAGGTGACTGTGCCTTTGTCCCCGGTTTATTATCCAGAGTGTTTGCTCTGTTCAGCCGAGGCACAGACTGATCATTTTATTATTATTTTTGTTTATCTTTACCATCAAGCATTCAAATATGGGAACCTGCAATTATACTGAAAATGTAAAACAAGAGATAATGGCTGTAAAGATAGATGAAAATAATATAAAATAAATATATAAATAGTTAAAAAAAACATTTTCTTTCAGGCTAGCCAATAAAAAGAGCCAAAAAGATATATGGTGAAACAAGACATTCGACCTTTTATGTTTAAAAGGTGACGACGTGTTGAAATGAGTTCTAAGTGAAGCTGCACGGTGGGCAAACAACATTTTAATACAGGATGTAAAGTTATCACAGGTGTTAAACTTCTCCATCACAGCACAAATGTGTTTCCACTCAACCTGCTCGAAAGCTTTTTTGGCATTCGGAGTAAACGCTGCAATTTTGGCACCTCTGTTGTGTCAGGAGTACATAATGTTCATCACAAACAGAGAATCTCCAGGGTTTTGTCAGGATGTACTGTGTTTGCTTTTTGTCTTTCCAGCCTGTATGCACGTCTTTTGATGAAGACCTTGAGGTCACAACCCTCGAGGAGGGCAGTAGTCGGTGAGAGCCGGGCTCTGATTGGTTCTTGTCTTTCTTTGGAATCAGGTATTCGGGCTGAATGTAGGAAGAGGGCCAATTCAAATGGAATGATTAAACGTCATTAACAAAATGGGGCAATTATGTGAGAGAATGATTTATGCAATTCCATACCAAATCCATCAAGTCTGGAGTTTTCCTGTTATATGAAGGAACTGCCTCTCTAATCTGCTCCAGGGTGACGTTTGAGTTGAAATCAGCACAGGTATTAATTTGGATAAATGTAGTGATTGGAGGAAGTCTGATGTTTGTGTGCAGCAGAATTTGAAGTGTAAAGCCGGTGCCTAAAATTTGTCAAAACATCCATTAATCACTTTTGGATCTGTGGAGATGGAGTCTGGTTTTGTTTTTATCCTGCATATAGATCTGTTAGCCTCCGTAGACCAAAGCTTCTCAGGTCTGTCTGGCAAAACTTTTTTTTTATTTTAATAATGTCTGGCTTATTTGTATAAAAAGTACTGCTAACTTGAAATGTTAGTTCTTCAACTTTCAATTTGCTCGGTGTGAAACCTGTGCCCGTTTAGTTGAACACAACGCAGCCAGGTTCCAGACTCCGTGTGGTGCTCACTGGCCGTGCTGATCAAGGCTTAAATTGAATTGATATTTTCTTCCATTAGAATTGTTGTTGACGGCTCAGTAATCAAACATGATTGAGTCAGTCCATTCTCATACAACAAAATCAGGCCAAACACACACACACACACACACACACAAGTAATGAAGAAATGCATTCATTCTAATCCCACACAGGCAGAGTAAGCACTGTTCAACATAAAGCACACACACGTGTGTTGCATATTATGTATGCGTGGTGCCACAGCTGTAGTTTACATGCGGGGAAAGCCTGCCGGGGATTGTGCTGTTACATGTTGAAGCAGTGGGAGGTGCGAGGCACGGTTAAATCGGATTATAATGAATTTGGTTCAAATTGAGGCTTGTGATGGCAGGTTGCTGCACTGCATCGCAACTAGCCAAACACAGCACACCTCTTCAGCGTCTGAGATCACGGACCCCCGCAGAAACCCAGTCAACATGCCTGCTGATCTGAACGGATATTGGAAAATGATTTCCAACAATAACTTTGAAGATTACCTCAAGGCCCTGGGTGAGTTTGTACAGCAGAGAAGCATGGTATCATTCAGTTTCCTGTCGTTTTATGTGGAGAACTTTATAATCCTCACCTTTTGGGTTTGTGCTACAGATGTGAACGTGGCCATCAGGAAAATCGCAACCCTGCTGAAGCCCGACAAGGACATTGTCCACGACGGGGAGCACATTGTCATCAAGACCCTCAGCACCTTCAAGAACTACAACATGGACTTCTACGTGGGCAAAGAGTTTGAGGAGGACCTCGCCGGAGTGGATGACAGGAAATGCATGGTGAGTTTCTATTAAGAGGGTTGGAGTATGTTAATGAAGAAATATAATCACACGTCACACATTTGGCAGCTCTGTTATAGCAGTAGGGTAGACATTAAGGCCGACCGATGTAGCTGCAGGTGTGGAGTCCTGTGGCGTAAACACATCATCTGTTGCTTCAGACCCGGCAGATGTATTTCCTCAGTGGCTCCTCTGGAGAATTAAATGAACATATGGTGATTAGAAAAAAAAACACACTTTCCAACAGCGTTTCAAACTTTAAATACAGTTGAAACTTTTCAACCTCCGGGTGCGCTGAACAGGAGAGAGAGAAAAAATAGGCCAAGAGTAAAAACTATACCAGAGTAGAGATTATTCACGACCCCTTCCTGAAAACTGTCACAGTGATTAGGCTGATTGTGGATAAGCTGCAGGCTTCTGGGAGTCACATGCTTCTTTGTGTGCTGTTTTCTTTATCTGAGTAAATATGTTAAGAAGGACTTTTCCTTGGGAACAAATGACTCACTTCACTAACGCACCGTGTACGATCACCAAACCTGTGTTTCTCCGACCCAGACCACTATCGCTTGGGAGGGAGATAAGCTGGTGTGCGTGCAGAAGGGAGAGATCGAGGGAAGAGGCTGGACCCACTGGGTGGAGGGAGATGAGCTTCATTTGGTAAGAAATCATCACTTTCACTCATGAATATTAATGTTTTCACTTCAGAAGCTTAAATTCCAATTCAAAGTGCCTCTCAGCACTCTATGTGTGGTGTATATTTTTTAATATGTGACTGTGGAGTGAGTTGGCCCACTGGCTGTAGTGGAACTCCAGTAGAACAGAAAATAAAAACTGGCAAGGCTACAAATGTTGTTGTTTTTTTGTTTTTGTTTTTTTTTCATTTATAACTAACTCTGGCTTCCATTTGGATCATGTTTGCGATAACTACCGACACATAGACAGTAAAGCTAAATGAGCTCATCTAAAGGTTGTCTTTCCTCTGAGCCCAGAAACATCCAGTGATCCAGCAAGACGTCAGCGGCGGTTTCCATTATCTCGACTTTGAAAAACTCATTTCTAATACGAAGGACTTGAGCAACTTTTTTCACCCTCCCAAACAACTGCTGTGTGAAATTATTCATAGTGCGGTCCCACTGTGGCGAATAAGCATTTGCATGTGGAGGGAAAAGAAAAAAAAAGAAAAAAAAAAAAGCATCAAAGTAATGACTAACGCATTGGCATTTTCATTAGCTCAGCATTATCAGATTTACCTCTGTGTGATTACTGTTATCAACACTATGAAGAGAAAATAATCAGGCAAAATTATTTGGTTTAAGCGACGCCAACAGATGTTTTCAATCAGCTGCCATGAAATTAGTTATTAGTGAAACATTGTCCCGAGAGCCGGAGAAGGCGTTCAATACAGGACAGCAGTGGCCTCTGGTGGTGACATTTTTATTACAATGTTCAGAAAAGCACAAGAAAACGTCATCTCTCATTGATTTGACAATAATAAAATGCGCATCACGTTCCAAGTGCATGACATATTCTTCAGTTCATTAAAGGTATTATGGGGTAGTTTTGTAATTATCCTCTCTTTTTGTATGTGTTCAGAACACTTTTGGCTGAACATAATTGATAGTGGACACCCGTCACAGCAGGTGGTAGGAGACTAACTGTTGTTTGAGGCCAAAGTGTGAAGTTCAGCTGTTATTGATATGTCAGGTTTCTGTTGAAGGTTTTGTCCAATGAGAAGTAAGGCCTTAATTATCCAATTAAGCCAGTAAGCTTGGTAACCTTAATTATCTACTCCATGCTTTAGGGCCCAGTTTGGCTTGGAAAGAAAACAGATTCATCAAATGTTCTTCTCTCCCCCCCTCCCTCCCCCACAGGAGCTCAGAGCAGGAGGAGCTGTTTGCAAGCAGGTGTTCAAAAAGTCCTAAAAAAAGGCTCTTGCTGAATGGGCTGTTCCCTGGATTGATGATGACTCACAGACATATTGGATTAATCTGACACATGGACCATTCCTGCATCTCTCTGTGTATTTATCTATTTAATGCCAATTATGTTGGCCACAGTAGAAGTCTGTATTCTATTACTGCTGCAGCCTTACCCTACCATAGCCTGTTACTCATCAACATGATGTGGAGATGGGAGAGCAGTAACATCAGGCTCTAAAGGGTTAATCCTTATTAATCATATACTTATACTGATTGTGTGAACTGTGTAGGACAAACATCCCGACCCCTGACTTTTCATATCCAGAATGAATATCAAACATAATGTGTGTGTATATATATATTCCCTTTAGTTCCTTCTTACGGAAGGCCCGATTGATAGTTACATTAATAAATCAATAAATTACTAAGTGCTCAACAATGCCACTTGTTTTATGATCTCATTTGAGTTCTTCAGTTTTTGGTTTCGGTAGGTTGTCACACAGATTTGAATCCTTTTCTGTATTATTTCTCTGGTGTGATTTAACCTATTGTTTCCCAAAGACTCAGGTGGGCCGCAAGAGATTTTTTTGGGGGGGTCGTCTCACATTATGTTTCCCAGAAGTGTACGAATAATGTCTATTGACTTGGGTCTTTGTGACTTTTAAAGTATGGGTCCCCAGAAAAAACGTTTGTGAAACACTGGATTAAACCACATGTTCCCAAAGAATAAACTTAAAATAAACATTATATAAACTTTATTTCCATTTAAGTTCCTCCAAAAAATGCCTTAATGCTAGGCACTGATTGTTAGTAAGCACACATTTTTAATGTAATTATCAGTTTACTAATTTGGCAGGAACATTTTAAACACCATCACTGTGATGGAATTCTTAGGATGGAAAAATGTCAAGGAACCTAGAACTGAAGATTTCGGTTCATAAAGCTGTTGGATTTCAGTCATTACTTTATATCTTGAGGGTGATTTAAAGAACATGTTGAGAGATGCTTTCAAAAACATCAATAAGAGAGAGAGAGAGAGAGAGAGAGGAAAGAAGCGAATAAATCCCAGATGGTAGTAGATTCGTCATTTTAAGGAACCAAACCAACAAATGCAACTCAACTGAAAATGAGAGTTTTTTTCTGTTGTATTGTGTATTGTCAAGAAAGTGTTAGTGATGACCACTGACAGCAGGTGTACTTCAGATCCTTCTAGATGTTTTTACTGCTGCAGAGACACAAGGGTTTTATCGACTCTGGAGACTTCTTGAAACCTTCCTCTCTGCTGTTCACCTGTTATATAGTATGTAAGAACACTCTCCATGGGCCAGTGGTGGATGGTGTGAGCAGACAGGATGTACTTTTCCAGTGTCTGTGAGAAATAAATCTGCTGCCTGGGTCTTTTTTCCCAGGCCAGGGGAGAGACCCTCTCTGTGATCCCACCCCCGAGGTTCAAGTTATTTATGTTGGCTGTTGTTGGTGTACCGGTCTGTCAACATGTAGTACACCCAGACAGACCACTGAAATAAACATTCCTTAATTTGCTGTTGATACAGTGTTTTTAACAGGCATAATGCTGACCTTGACGCACACAGGTGAAGCTCCATATGAGCATCAGCCACACTCAGTACTGTGAATCAGCTGATCTGTCAGTTCACCCACTGCATTTCAATCACCGACCCCACACTTGTTTTGCTGCTGCTCGTCGTGTTTTTTTTTTCCTGCTTCCTGCTGCTTTTTCTGTATTCATAGCCCACCACCAACCAGGCCTGTTCCTGCAGGCTCTGTTTATGTATGGTTCTCCAGGGGGTGAATATTGATCCCTCCCTGCTCCAGCTACGGCTGGTTCAAAAAATGATGCTGTCAGGGAGAGGAGGAAACAGGAGTCTGAAGCCAGCTGAAAAAGCCCTATTTACATTTATTCTTCATAAAAATGCATAACGATATAGAGAGATATTTACTGGGATTTTACTAGTTTAAGTCCAAGAAAAATTGGAATATATATTTAAGAAATGTACAGCATAATAGCGGGGATAAATAAATCAAGTATTGTTTAAAACGTTTTTTTTATATATATATTTGCAATGTCAGGAATACAATATATTTTAATGCAAATTATTTTCTAGCAAATAGCTATTTGTTTGTAGTTAGTTATCTGTTTTGTTCCCAAGCCTATAGCACAGCAATGGGCAAGGGTATTTGTCAAAAGAGTGTGTTTTTTTTTTTGTTTGTTTTTTGTTTTTTGTTTTGTGAGAATATATTATTTCAAGAACTTTCTTTGGGGTTACTGTGAGACTTACTTATTTTTCAGTCAAATATGATCGAACTGATCATCTATAGAAAGTTTTACGTCTTTTGTGTTTTTTATATTTTCATAACATTTTAAATCAAATGTCTGAAACGTTTCTACCTTTACTGCACATAAACCAATTGTTGGCTGTAATTAATGTTACAGCCCTGAAGGACTTTTTAACTGCGTCTCACACACACATTTAATTTAACTAATCTTTTTTTCCACTGGCGTCTAATGCTGGGCCAAACTACTGCGCAATGCTGCCCATTCAATACAAAAGATAGAAAGAGTCGGTTGACCCTTCTCCTCCTCCCTTTCCCAAAACAAACGACCCCACCAATCCCCTCAAGGCTATCAACTTATCAATAGTTCCCATCCTTTAGGCGCTCAGGCCCATAAAAACAAGAGGCCCTGCATCTTCTCTCGCTTTAAAACATCTTGACTCCTCACACAGCAGTGTCTCCATGCCTGTAGACCTGAGTAGGAAATGGATACTGCAGACCAACGACAAGCTTGAGGACTTCCTGAAGGCGATAAATAAATATTCTTCAGATTGTACTAATTCGGTGTTGATGGTTGAAAATTATGTGAAACCGTGTTGGTCGGGTTCACTACTTTCTATGCAGACGTAAGAGTGCTGTAACTGTTGTGAATTGACTGTATAGTCATTTCTCTCTCTTGTCAACAGATATTGACTTTGCTACAAGGAAGATTGCCAACTCCGTGTCTCAGACCAAAGTGATTATCCAAGATGGAGACAGGCTTAACATCAAAACACTGAGTACCTTCAGGAGCTATAACCTTGAATTTACTGTTGGGGTGGAATTTGATGAGTATACTAAGGGAGTCGATAATAGGCACGTTAAGTTAGGCTGCCTGTTTGTGTACAGACACCATGAAGTATGGAAACGTCAGTAGCATTTGATATGAATAGTAAGTTTTTCAAACTTCCAGTACAGCGGTTCATTAATTTTTGTGGCCACACACGCCCTTCTATGTCCCCACCAGGTTGACGTACCCTCCATTCCCCACACCTTTGAAAAATAAAAAAAAGTTGGTTACTTCCTATTCACAATGTAAGGAGTTTTCTCTCAATGTTTTTTTAGAGTTTAGTGACCTAGAATGGTGACAGACTGGTGTGCACTCAGAGAGAAGAGAAAGCCAGCAAAGGCTGGAAACACTGGATTTAAGAAGATAAACTCTACCTGGTGGGTTGATAGTAACAGTGGGTACAACTTGAATCAGTAGTGATTTAAACATAGTCTTGTTTTTTAATACAATTGTTTAATTAGGGGAATGTGTTGCACAATATAATTCGATTGTTTTTGTTCGCTTTATTTATTTACATGTAAAGATGGTGTTTATTATCAGGTCTTAATCAGAAAACAATTATTCTTATTAACAACAGAATTATTCTGTTATAAAAACAGTAATTTCCAGTCTCTAAAAACCGACTTCTGTCGCCATCCAGTGGGGAAATGTAAGAGTGTGGCTCCAGACATCATGAGTCAAAACTTCCATGTCCGAACAGTGGCTGTTTATAAGTGTTTTGGTAAAGAGAACAGTGGCAGTTATTATGGAATACAATATAGAGTTTTTTCCTTTATAACTATATTGCTTGTGAGATGCATAATTACTTACCTATCTATCTATCGCAGCTGCAGTGGCTGATGCTATGACACGACTTTTTTGTCACGTCACCACTTCTTCAGCGCAACTCTCGCGAGCGTTGTTTCAGGAAGTTCCACGTCAGTAGACAGTGCCGTGTACACAAAAATCCTTACATTTGGGAGTCACATCTATCTGTTCTTACAGCAACAAGAAGAGGATACAATATGGTAAGATTAAATTTTTTTTTATTACACCTATGTCACAAACTGACTCCAATCGCGTTGCATGATTCGCTTGGTATAATTCAGAATGTACAGAACTGAAGCGGTGACATATAATACATTCTTGCATCTAGCTTAGCGGCTAGCTCGCTCGACTTAGCATTTAGCAAACAGCTTTTCACATTACTCAACTTTGCTCTGTGCAAGCTGGAAATGTCATAGTTTTGTTTAAACATAAGAGTTGTATTATTTTTTAGGGCATATGGCAATCTGTTTGTATGTTAAGAAACAGAATACAAGTTGTTTTCAAAAACTGTAGCTGCTAGCCGTATGTGTTTTCCGGGACTCCACGATTACACTGCCGAGTGACATATAAAACGCTTGAATAAAGCTGTTGCGGGTGCAAAAACGTGTGAATTCAACGGGAAAGTTCGCCAATGCTCTTTGTCGTTTTAGCCTCTGAGGCTGGACATAAAGCGGAGGCTGACGGCCAGGTCAGACCGAGTGAAAAGTGTGGACCTTCACCCAACTGAGCCATGGATGCTGGCCAGTCTCTACAACGGTAGCGTCTGCGTGTGGAACCATGAAAGTCAGGTACGATTCTTAACCCAGGACGATTTGTGAAACAGTGAATGGACAAGCAATGTTTTGAATATGCGTGTTACCTTTCTGATTTTCTACAGACTCTTGTCAAGACCTTTGAAGTCTGTGACCTACCTGTCAGAGCATCCAAGTTTGTGGCAAGAAAGAACTGGGTCATCACTGGAGCAGTGAGTTACATTGATTACTCTGTGCTGGTTAATTACAACAATAACAATTATAATGACTATTTTGGCAAAAGTTTGGTTAACTAAGAGATTCAGGAAGTTGATTTAGTTCCAGCTGTTGTAAAAAATAATGTGTTGTGATGACATTTGCTCTTTTCCCGTTGAAGGTTTTAGTTTATTTATGTATTATTAACTATTGTATTAGTATTATATGTCTACTCCTGCTCTTTCTTTCTTCCTCCCCTCTTATAAGTTTGATTTCAACTTGACTAGAAAGTTTTCATCATTCATTGTTTATTGGTTAAAGAACCTTTTCCTTTCAAACTTCCCTCTCCCAGGATGACATGCAGATTCGCGTGTTCAACTACAACACCTTGGAGCGCGTCCATATGTTTGAAGCCCACTCTGACTACATCCGCTGCATTGCTGTCCATCCGACCCAGCCCTACATCCTTACCAGCAGTGGTAGGCAAATAACTTGCTTTTATAAATAGATTGGTAACACACCGTAAATATAATATTGTTGAATACAAAGGATCCATGGAAACATTGTCATGAAATATGTATTTAAATGTGAACGTGTGAATCTGTTACGATTTGAAGACCACAATATATTGCATAGTTTAAGTTCTTTTTCCTTAATGTTAAAATGCATTTCTGTGTCTTCCCAGATGACATGTTGATCAAACTGTGGGACTGGGAGAAGAAGTGGTCATGCAGCCAGGTGTTTGAAGGCCACACTCATTACGTAATGCAGATTGTCATCAACCCCAAGGATAACAACCAGTTTGCCAGTGCCTCCCTTGACAGAACAATTAAGGTAGCAAACCCTGGGCTATTGATTCTTTTGCACTTTTTTGTTTGTGTGATTGAGTAATTTATCCCCTGAAAACATTTTTATACTTACTCAAAAAAATTAGTAATTCCCTGCGATATCCACTTTGTTATCTCAGGTTTGGCAGCTTGGCTCCTCATCTCCAAATTTCACTTTGGAGGGCCATGAGAAAGGAGTCAACTGTATTGACTACTACAGTGGAGGAGACAAACCTTACCTTATCTCAGGAGCTGACGATCGCCAGGTCAAGATCTGGGACTACCAGGTTGGAAGGCATTATAATTCACTCACTTTTATAGTAAAATGATAATATTGGGGGTTTTTTTCATTCTAAGGATGTTTCGTCTGATGGTGTCTTTGTGTTACAGAATAAGACCTGTGTTCAAACTCTGGAGGGTCATGCCCAGAACGTCTCCTGTGTCAGCTTCCACCCAGAGCTGCCCATCATCATCACTGGGTCAGAAGATGGTAAGATGTTCTTCATCTTCCCTCTTTGAACACAAACAGCTCTTCCTTAATTTTTTTCAAGCCCACACTTACCTCACCATCACCTCACTCCTCTGTAGGTACTGTGCGTATCTGGCACTCAAGCACTTACCGTCTGGAGTGTACACTGAACTATGGCATGGAGAGAGTTTGGTGTGTGAGTGGACTCCGGGGCTCAAACAACGTTGCTCTCGGCTATGACGAGGGCAGCATAATTATAAAGGTGACCAGAGTATGAATTATTATTTATTAATACATGAATGTGTTTTCTTTTACTCAACGTAGCTTTGCTTTGTGTGCCCTGTACTATATAGGTTGGTCGTGAAGAGCCAGCCATGTCCATGGACACCAGTGGCAAAATCATTTGGGCCAAACACAGTGAAATACAGCAGGCAAACCTTAAGGCCATGGGTGATGCTGAAATCAAGGATGGAGAAAGGCTGCCGTTAGCTGTCAAGGACATGGGCAGCTGTGAAATTTACCCTCAAACCATCCAGCACAACCCCAACGGAAGGTATGAACACACATAAGCAAACAGAGGCTAACACACTGCTGTTTATCTGAACAGCCAGAGTAAATATGAATAACTAAGACCTTGATCAAGAGGTTTAACGTGGTTTTGCAAAAATGTGTGTTCAACAGATTTGTTGTAGTGTGTGGAGACGGGGAATATATCATCTACACTGCCATGGCTTTGAGGAACAAGAGCTTTGGCTCAGCGCAGGAGTTTGTTTGGGCTCACGACTCATCTGAGTAAGTACCAATTTGTGACGTTGTTACATACAACTTTAGCTTCAATATAAAACCTAGACATAGCTGTGCACGTACATCGTTAGTTACACAAACACTTGAGTTGAACTTGTGCACCTTGTCACCATGACAACTATGCCTTGGACCTGTAGCTGATGTGCTTTAATTAAGTGCCAGAAATCTGACTGCGAACCTCTACATCTTGTTTATCTCACAGATATGCCATCAGGGAAAGCAACAGCCTGGTCAAAATCTTCAAAAACTTTAAAGAAAAGAAGTCCTTCAAGCCTGATTTTGGAGCTGAAGGTACAGTGTGCAAGAATTTATTGTAGACAGTGTCATTTTCTCACATCTACAGTTTCTCCTAATACATGTATACCTGTGTTGACTACAGGAATATATGGAGGCTTTTTGCTCGGAGTAAGGTCACTGACTGGCCTGGCCTTTTATGACTGGGAGAACACAGAGCTGGTTCGCCGCATTGAGATCCAACCCAAACATGTAAGACATAGTTCCTCTTTGTTATCACAAATCATTAGTCTGCCTTTTTATGTTTTCTGTTCAGTTCTCTTTTATCAGATCCACATTTGTTCGATTCACCTTTCCTCTCCTTCATTTCTCCAGATCTTCTGGTCGGACTCTGGTGAATTGGTCTGCATTGCTACAGATGAGTCCTTCTTCATTCTGCGTTACCTGGCAGATAAAGTGGCTGCATCCCACGAGAACAATGAAGGAGTGACAGAGGATGGCATTGAAGATGCTTTTGAGGTGAGTGTGTCAATGTGAACAAATCCCTCAATAAAGAGTACTGGCAATAACAGCAAAACATAGCTGCAATTCTGTCTACAAGATTTAACAAATACTTGTTGTTTTGCTGTAGGTCCAGGGAGAGATTCAGGAGATTGTGAAGACTGGACTCTGGGTTGGAGATTGCTTCATTTACACCAGCTCTGTGAACAGACTTAACTACTATGTAGGAGGAGAAATCGTCACTATTGCCCATCTGGACAGGTAGGTGAAAGAACCATTATCTATCATTTTAATTTTCTGTCTAATGATCTGTTGCCTTAATGTTGTGTCCCTTTGTTTTTTGCAGGACCATGTACTTACTGGGCTACATACCCAAAGATGACCGTCTGTACCTGGGAGACAAGGAGCTCAACATTGTCACTTACTCTCTGCTAGTCTCTGTGCTGGAGTATCAGACTGCAGTAATGAGGAGGGACTTTGGAATGGCTGACAAGGTCTTACCCACAATTCCTAAAGAGCAGCGTACCAGGGTGGCCCACTTCCTAGAGAAACAGGTTAGCAAAAGTGACACAAGCTTTTTTTTGTCACTTCATTTGCATTGAAATCCATATTCTATGTGGGGTTTTTTTTTTACATAATCAGTAATAACAATAACATATTTTGATTTTTCAGGGTTTTAAGCAGCAGGCTCTGGCTGTGTCCACAGACCCTGAGCACAGGTTTGAACTAGCACTGCAGCTAGGAGAGCTGAACACTGCCTACCAGCTGGCTGTAGAGGCAGAGGTACGATTCTATAAGCTGCTTTTCATAAAGATTTCTCACAGAATTGTTAAAAGGGGATATGGATTTGTGACTGGGACATTTTAATGGTTTGACTTCTTTCCTACAGTCGGAGCAGAAGTGGAAGCAGTTAGCAGAGCTGGCTATAAGCAAGTGTCAATTCAGCCTTGCCCAGGAGTGCCTGCACCACGCTCAGGATTATGGTGGCCTGCTCCTCCTTGCCACAGCCTCTGGTAATGCCCCTATGGTGGGTAAACTGGCTGAGGGGGCAGAGAAGGATGGAAAGAACAACGTGGCCTTCATGACTTACTTTTTGCAGGGAAAGTGAGTGTAACATCGTCATGACACTGGTGTACAAGAGGCAGTAACACGACAAGTCTCACAGTTTTATCAACCCTTTTCTCATTCACTTCTCCACAGACTGGATCAGTGTTTGGAGCTTTTGATCAGGACTAATCGACTACCTGAAGCTGCTTTCCTGGCTCGTACCTACCTGCCCAGTCAGGTGTCACGTGTGGTCAAACTGTGGAGGGAGAGTCTGGCTAAGGTCAATCAGAAGGTCAGTCCTGTTGTTAGAAATCAGATGTATTTCTTAAAACACAGAATTAAACCATTTGCTTGTTGTTTTCTTTTCTGCATTATAGGCCGCTGAATCCCTTGCAGATCCCACAGAATATGAGAATTTGTTCCCTGGACTGAGAGAAGCCTTTGGAGCTGAATATTATCTGAGAGAGACGTGTTTAGGCTCCACACGGCCTGCTACAGATTATCCTCTGGTCACAGTGAGTTGTCTAATATTTTAACCAAATAAATGCTATGTGTTGTTGGCAATCAATGTTTAATTATTTTCTATGTTTATATTGTAGCCTAATGAAGACAGGAATATTCTTGAAGAAGCCCAAGGATATGAGCCCAAAGGAACCTTCATTCCTACAAAGGTTGGTACACATTTTCTATTATTTACATCATGTGGAACCACAAAGGAAATCCACAGCTCAGTACCTGACTGGTTCCCTACCACAGACACAGGATCCTGATGAGGAGGAGGAAGATGAGGGTGCTGGGTTGGAGGAAGAGGAGCCTGCAGTAACTGAAGCTCAGATTGCTGCAGCTCCAGAACCAACTGTACAGAATGAACCTGCTGTAGTGGAGCAGAAACAAGAGGAAATTCCTGAAATTTCACTACAGGACAAGGTTTGTTATTAATTTTTTATTTTCATTGTAATTCATAATTATGGTGTTTAAACATTTATTGTATTTGTTAGAGATATAATGTGAATGTTGTATATACATCAGGGTTCTCATAATTCATTGTGTGCTTGTGTGTCAACAGTCATTGGATGATTTAGACGTGGACCTGGACAACATGGAGCTGGATGACATCGACACCACTGATGTTAACCTTGATGACGATTTCCTAGATGATTAAAACCATTCTGCTCCATGGCACTCTCCATAGTTTATTTAAAAAAGAGAAAGAGACCAAACCCCTCCACCCTACTTTTTTGTATTTGTATGTAAAAATATGACACTGCAGCGATAGAAAATACATGAATTAAGATGATATTGGCATTGGTATGTTTCTCTAAAGAAAAGGAAAAAGATCACAGCTTCTTTCATCATTCATTTTCTGACTTTTTTTTTTTTTTACACTTGTCGTTCAATGATCTTTGAAGAAAGTATCACTGATTGTTTGGATGGTTCTATGTGCTCTTTGTTGTTTTGTTGCCTGTAGTGACAAAGCCAACATTATTCTGTCCAATAAACTGCAGGTTCTGTATATAAACACTTCTGACTTCTAACAATCATTTTTACTCCGTGCTGATAAAAACTTTCTGTACGTGTTGTTGAGTTCACCAGGTTGTCCTGACTTAGTGACTAAGAATCCTTAATGAAATGTTGGCTTCTATGGTTCTGTAAATTTCTAGTTGTTTCACAAGGTTTGAATGACCTTATAAAGTCCCAATGGTGTCTCTTAAAATATTGTTTAATCCTCTCATACCATAGACCATAGGTGTAATGACAATACTGTCACTCTACTTTTCCAAAGATTGCAACTCACCTTGGAAACCTTAATAGGTAGGATTAATATCTACATGAGAGCCAAAGAATGATCATTATGGATTCCTAAAGATGATTACTAAAATGTATGTCTGTTTGTGTACATGTGCTTATTTCTATTGTATTTTTCTTCTTTCACTTAGATTTTTAAATAATTAATTTGAGTTATATGCCCACTGTGTTTACTCAAATATAATTTAATTCATGTGAACCTATTCTGTATAAAGTATATGATAGAAAGCTTTTAGTTTTCTGTGTATGACCGCCTCTGGTGATTTGAAAACCTGTCCTGGGAAAGCAGCCACTTTCCTCCTTTCCTGTGGGTGGCGCCGCTCAGAACTAGGCACGTACGATCGTGTGCAGTTTGAGTGCAACAAAGTACTGACTGAAGCTTGGCAGCTAGCGTGAAGGAAAAACCGATCTTTCACAGATTGTTTATCGTTTGTTCAATTTTTAATCGCTTTGTGTGATTTCTACGCTTTCGGTGACATTCTGGGAGTTTATTACGAATTGGGAGCAAACCCAGTCTCGCCAACTGTCGGTAGTGGACGCCTTGTGGAGGAGTAAGGTGCTTCTTATATTGAAAGGCAGACGCAGCGTTGGTGAGCTGGCGTAGGAAAGGGAGAAACCAGGGCGACGCAGCGACTCGGCCGGTCTGTTGGAGCCGGGAGGACCACGGCACAACCGCCGCCAGCGCAACGGGGAGTCGGGGCCCGAGAGGGAGGCTGCCAGGCCCTCGGCTTAATGCACCCTGCCTGCCTCTCCTCAGCCGCAGTCCGAGATGGGGGAGACCAAAATTATCTACCACCTCGACGACCAGGAGACGCCATATCTGGTGAAACTGTCGGTGCCGGCGGACAAAGTCACTCTGGCAGACTTCAAAAATGTCCTGAAGAAGCCAAATTACAAGTTCTACTTCAAGTCTATGGACGATGACTTCGGGTAAATGTTTATTAAAGGGCTCTGTTGTTGTTGTTTAACACGGAGGCAACACACACTGCTGTTTCTCAACATTATATCAACATTAACTTTACGTTGTGAGTTCACACAGCTGGTCTGTCATTAGTTTAACGTTACCTGGCTACACAACACAAGCCTGCTTCGTTTCTTTGTTAGCGGCTAGCTGCGAAGCTCGCAGAGTTAGCAGCGTCTGTTCAGCGTCCGGACCCCGTTTGTTTACATTGCCCGTGTGGCTAACGTATGCCACCGGTCTGTCTGCCCAAGTTTGGTCAATTCCAGTTTCATACACACAGCAGGGGAAATTCACAGAGACATTTTCACCTCTTTGAGATGCAGCTGCCAAACATGTTAGCAGTCATTTTCTGTCATTTACATTCTACTCTCAATAATGTATTGAAAGTGCTCAGAGGCTAACGTCAGAATGTGGACGGCCAGTTGGAGCCCCATAGGCCCCTGTTGCTGCTGTCGTTGTCTGTTAGAGGCAGGGATGCAGAGGTGAAAACAGGAAAGCCCCGTTCATCACCGTGGCAGCTTTATGAGCTACTCCCTTTGTGTTAAAACAGGGCTGGAAAAGTGGACGTTTAATGTGCGTACAGACAGTGACTTCAGCAGGGGTGAAGAGAATTCTGGAAGTTCTGTTTAAAGAAAAAATATGCTTAGCAACGTTTCTGTAACGTTGCTTTTGTCTATTCCCAAACTAGGGAGAGTGGGCCAAGTCAGACCAATAGTGATGGGACGTTGGACCCAGAGAAACCATGTTAACCCTGTTCTCCACAGGATGGAGAGAGTCTATAAACAAGATCTGGAAACCTCCACTCCAACCTCTGTCACTATAGATTGAGCAACCTGTCTGACTGGAGAGACTGCAGCAAATATTTGTCAAAAAATGTATCGCTGACCAGCGCAATGTGTGTACTGCTAAGTAGAAAGAACTGCCAAGAAAAAGAATATTTTGTTAACAAACTATTTACAAGATCTTTTTTTTAAAAAAAAAAAGAAACAACATTGTGAGACACACTACTATGCATATGAACAAACCAGTGTTATAACTGGATTACAACATTGCTGTAAGTGCACTGCTAGGTTACCAGTGTGTGTCCCTGCTGGTGGAAGCACTGCCCATCCTCATTGCCTCTAAATGCAGACACATGTTTTATTGCCCCGAGAGCTTTTTGTGTTGTTAAAGGTTTTACCGAAACAAAGCTTTGTTCTCTTTACAGGGTGGTAAAAGAGGAAATATCCGATGACAACGCTAAGCTGCCCTGTTTTAATGGACGTGTGGTGTCATGGGTAGGTCTAACACACATCCGGGAGTAATTTCTTCTTTTTTGTTTATTTGGTTGTTGTGATAAGTCCAGCCTTGAATTCATTATGTCAGTGTTTTTTTTTGTTGTTGTTTTTGCCCATCTGTGTGTGCAACTATTACAGTTTCCCATCTGTCTGCCAGTGACCTAAGCATGCTTTACTTCAAGGGACAAGCCTAATACTATATATATGTATGATAAGTTATCACATGACAATCACAGGAATAACAGAGCCACATGAACACTGTCACATAACTGTGACTTTGTGGTTTCAGGCACTTTAAACAAGAGCAACATGTGTAGAAATGTAGCAGTAATTCATTTTGTGCTAGGGGTTATAATTCTCCACACAACAAGAGACATCTGCTGCTCACACTGATACTCCTCTCTTCTTCTTTTTGACACTGAAATTGGATTAAGAGCAAGTGAAATCACAGGACAGGAGTGAAATAACGCCCCAACAAAGAGCTCTGCTCCATTTTATCTAACAAGAAGATCAAATTTCACAGGAATGGGATAATAAAGTTGCCTGTCCTCTGGCTGAAGTGATGCATTTGATTAACGGGTCATCAGTGCAGTGTTAATATTATATAGTTTGGCCCAGCAGGTCTGGTCCACTGAGTCAACTCCCCTACTCTCAGTTTCATTTTATTTACACTGTGACCAGCTGTAGTTCAAAGCCAGTTCCTCTCTTTGCGTTTGTTGTGTGTGTGTGCACTCAGGACTATGTTGGTGTTCTCTTGGGGGTTGTTGAAATGTTCCATCTACAGTGAACTGTTATTTCTGTTTCTGTGTGTCCATTTGTTTGTCTCCACTGCTCATCTGTTGTTTCAATGCCTTGATTGATTGCTCTCTCGGGTCTGAGGGTCAGGCCTTTTATTATCCCACCACACCATTACCACAGGCCAGCACCCCCCAGTCTGCTGTTGTTTAATGACAGCTGTCATTTTTGTTGTCATTCCTAATTGACATCCTCTTTGCTGTGTAGGTGTAGAACTATTTGAACCTGCAAATTAAATAATCCATACTCCACATAGAGTTTCATATAGATAAGTCAAAACAGGTTGGCAAGTCTTTAAAGTAACACATTTACAACAACAAAAAGTAGTATTTACTGTACAAACATGAAATAAAACTATTCTTCATGACTTGTGCAATTCTCAAAGGCTAGTGGTCTGTGGTTAACCTCGAGAGCCTGTAGTTGTGTTTAAACTTGACATTCTTCCTGCGGAATAACTAAATGTTTGCCCTGTGACTTGGTTTTTTTACATTGTGAAAAGCAACGTTTCTCAAACCTTTGGTGTGAGAATGTTCTGCTTCCTTTAATTTAAGTAACTTTAATGCTGAGGAAAAGCCACAAAGGAGACAATTCTCTGTGTTAGTCTAACTTTAAAATGACCTGATTGGAAATCATGATGTAGAAATAAGAGGGGAAAAAAAGAAGAGCCACATGTTATTTCATGCATGTCACACAAAAGATACATATCACAACGTAAATAACAGTCATAAATACACTGTAATATTTACTGCAACTGAATTTTATGAGAGGAGACACAGTTCAACACAATCATATGTTTTCTTTAAGCCACTCTTTCAAGGTTGTTTAAAGAGCACTCAGAAACATCCTATGTATGAACTAATGAGAAAAGGCCTCAAGGTGAAGCAAAAAAAAACCTGGTTGCTGAAATAAATTTAAAAGCTAACGTTAATAGCTTGATTTACAGCAACATCCAATGTTAACATTTTTACCTGTGATTTAAAAAATAAATAAACTCCTCTGGAAGCTCAATCATGGCGCACTTCCTCCCACGCTGTGGTCACTTGGCAGAGCTGTCAAGCCACAGGCCCAGACTGACACAGATATTTTCCTTCTCTCTTTATGTTTATTCTGTAGCTGCTTCTCGTCAGGCTTTTTTTTTAAGTAGGTCATTATGCAGAGACAAATCAATTACAGTACTTGTAGAGACATTCAGGTCCACAAAGAGAACACTGTGATACATTGTAGTCCTCATTCCCTGAGCATCTGTAAATGTCATTTAGTCTGTCTGTAATCTGTGTGGACATTGTCTCTCGGATGTGTGTCTCCTGTGCATTTTTCCTTCTATGTATTTCTTTGGTCTGACCCGTCTTTCTGTTGACAGTTGGTCTCTGGAGATGGAGCTGACACAACATCAGTAGCGGACAGTTTAGAGCCAACACCGCCCTTGGAGAGGACTGGGGGCATTGGAGACTCAAGACCACCTTCTTATCAGTGAGCTTTTTATTATTATTTTTATTTTTTCATGTTGGAAGTAGAGATAGTGTAATGTGTGCCGAGTATGTGGGAGTTTGAAAGTGAGAGATGCCATGAGTGTTGTGTGTTTTCTCTCTTTAGTTGTCTGGAACCAATCCTTTTGTGCATCTTTATAGTCAGAAAACAGCAAGTGATGGCATGTAACCGCAGAGGAGTAAGGAATAAAGACATTTCCTGTTCCCAGTTTATCATTAACCTATCAGCCCTTCAGAAGCAATTCCACTCGTGAGTCCGTAATATAGGTCAAAGAATTATCTCATAGTCTTACAGTTCTTGGAATAAATTTGCCAGAATGAAAATATTGACTCTGCGAAGAACAAAAAGTGGCGATAATAATAAACCAGTAAAGCCCAGGACAACAACCCTCGCAAACTACTCGGTATCCACCTTTATTTAAATGCCACCTGAGCGAACGGCTACATAATGATTCATTGTAATAGTATCTGTTTTTAACACCCACTCTGTATCCTGTTCTTTCTCTCTCTCTCTGAAGCGGGAAAGCAGCGAGTGGTCGGGACAGTTTGGACAATGACACAGAGACTGGCTCCGTGGTGTCGCAGAGGAGAGAGAGGGAGAGGCCTCGACGGAAGCATTCAAACGAGCACGGTCAGAAAACTGCCTTCCACAGTCGCAGTGTCAATATTCATCTTTTGTTTGTGCCTCCAGTATCAGGTTTATATGTGTGTTTTAGTCACTCATTCACGTTTACGTGGTGAGTGAAACTGAATCCTTTATGGATATTATACTTCTGTGTTTCATCTTTAGTAACTGTGGTATGGAATTTCAAAAATAATATTGAATGAAATAGTTATTGTCTATGAACACTAAATCAATGGCACCATTTATAAGTAAACATATTATGTTCATTTTGTTGTTAAAGCTTCCATGATTTGTATGAAGTCCTTGAACAATTATGAAAGTGTCACTTTAGTGTATTGACCTATTAAGTAAGTGTCATTTTATCGCCCTCCTTCCTAATGATCTCCAGCAGCAGGAGGAAGGCAGAACGGCTTCTCCTCGCGAGCAATGGGACGAGGCATTGCCGAATACGACAGCTGCTCGTCCTTCATGAGCAGTGAGCTGGAGTCCACGTCCTGCTTTGATTCAGAGGATGACGACGCAACCAGCAGGTCAGCCGATCACGCTGTTTGATGACCGAAGGGCATTTGGTGCGAGGAATGCGTCCGGCCTTTACAGATGAGGAGGTTCTGGCAGGGATTAGTAAAGTCTAATTGTCTTGTGGTTTAGTGGTCACCCCCCGGGTTGCCCACCAGGAGTTGAAGAATTGTCTTCAAGGCTGTTCCCAGTCATAAGGCGTCTCCTACAATGTTTTTCTTGTTGTTGCAGCTCTAATAGGGTCTGAATTAATCATCAGCGTATTAGTTTCTTTCCTTTGCAATAAGAAACACACTGTTGCTGCAACAAAAGTGTCTGGTTGCTGGAGCCAACTAATGCTTTGTCAGTCAGGACATAACTTTTAAATGAAGTCAGCTGGCTGCTTTTCTCGCAAACAGTTTGCCACGACTCCTGGGAATCATAACTTTTATTATGGAAACAGTGGAATAGTGTTGTTAATAAGTACTGAACAGTAAGGTTTGCATTTACCATTTAAACAACTTACACGGCGACAGTTTTATTAGGTTTCTGTTGAAGTATTGTTTCTATTTATGCAATAATATGTTTTGGATTTTGGTGTTTTTCAAATATCAAGTATTATATGGTATGCCTTCAACTTGAATTAAAGGGATTAAATTTGAATTTGCTGTTGCTGCATAACATTTTTATTAACAGATGTTCATGTCTCTCTCCAGCAGAATTTGTTCTCTACTGGACAGAGATAGTTAGGAATAAATTAGATTCAGGATTATCCCAATAGTGTGAAGTCCCCGTTACCGAAATATTGTATTCCATGATTTGCAAGCTTTGCATTTTTTTAAAAAAAGCAATAAACAAAATACTTAAGTTAAAAAAAACACACACATTTGTTCCTTCAAAATCGTCAAAATATTTTCTTCTCCTGGCATACTTAGATTCAGCAGCTCCACTGAACAGAGCTCCTCTCGTCTAATGAGAAGACACCGTCGCCGCAGGAGGAAACCTAAAGCCTCCAACATGGACAGGGTGAGCTCATGCACACACGCTCTATGGCATTTTGCATGTTGAGTTCTGTTTCAAATGGTTTGGTCAATGCGTCTAACCTTTGTCTGTTTTTTCAGTCTTCATCGTTCAGCAGCATTACAGACTCCACCATGTCTCTGAACATCATCACTGTCACTCTCAACATGGGTACGTTACCGAACCCGCCCCTTGTGTCACGTCAATAAACGGTTTAATATTTATACTTGGTCTTTCTCACATTTCTGATCCACCTGTCACCTGTCCACACCGCAGAAAAGTACAACTTCCTGGGCATCAGCATCGTGGGTCAGAGCAATGAGAGAGGAGATGGAGGAATTTACATTGGCTCCATCATGAAGGGAGGGGCCGTGGCTGCAGATGGACGCATCGAGCCTGGAGACATGCTGCTGCAGGTACATTAGTGGTTCCCCGGGGGTCTTTTATTGGGATTTTTCTGTATATTGTGGATTTGGATCAGTAATGTAATGTGAGTGGGAGAACAACCTCCACTCTAGCTCCTATTTTCAGTTAAAATGCAGTGTATGTGTTGTAATGATGTAGTTGTAATTTGACGTTGCCAAGCTTGCATTGTTCACTGGATGTAAAACAGTGTCACAGGCAGAAAATGAGCGGTGTTTGTCGTTAGTCTTCCTTTTCCATTCTTTAAATACGTGGGACCTCGTGTTGAACCTCTGCCAGTCCTGCTAATACCTCTGTGGTGGAATTTATTGCACTGGCAGCACGCTTTTAAAGATGTTATACAGGAAACAATTTTGTGACTTTATGACGAGTGTCAGAGTTTACTAAGATTTTTTTACAAGAGAGGCCGAGAGACTTCATTTGTGGCATATACACTGTATTGTTTTCTTTTTTAATCCCTGTAGGTGAATGACATCAACTTTGAGAATATGAGCAATGATGATGCAGTCAGAGTTCTGAGGGACATTGTGCACAAACCAGGGTGAGGCACACACAGATAGAAAATTAATTTAAAAAAATTAACGAGGTACACGAACCAAAGTACATTTCTAACGTGCATTAGATCAGTCTGGGTGTAAAAGCTTCATCCCTGTGTTTATTTTCAGCCCCATTACTCTCACGGTGGCTAAATGTTGGGATCCTAATCCTCGGAGCTGCTTTGCTCTACCAAGAAGTGAGTGTTTCTGTTTTTTCTTCTCATTCAATGGATGTTGCCAACTCTCACCAACTCTCTCTAACTCTGCATTTCTGTCTTACAGGCGAGCCAATCCGACCTATTGACCCAGCTGCATGGGTGTCCCACACGGCAGCCATGACTGGGGTTTATCCTGCGTATGGTATGAGCCCCTCCATGAGCACTGTCACTTCAACCAGCTCCTCCATCAGCAGCTCCATCCCAGAAACTGAACGTGAGTCACATGAACGCCCCAAAGCTACTGTATGTGCGGTTACTGATTTGAAAATCTGTTGTTTTTCCTAAACCATATTTATGAGAAAAATTAAAATTATAAAACTGAACTGTGGATTGAAAATGATTTCAGGCAACACCTTCTTCTCAGCCACCTACAAGCGTCTTCCTTCTCCAATAGTCAAATAGTCACTTTCTTCTTCTCTGCTCCGTTTGAGAATATGTGTGAAGCGCGGCCCTGCCCTTTCACTACATTCCTGCAACCTCTCTCCGTTCCAGTTTTTTTTTTCCTGAGCTCAGCCCCACAGCGTCCATCTGCTCAGTAACTCTTGTCAAAACTAAACTCATAACTCACAACCTTCGTCCTCCCTGTAATCTTTGGAAGGACAGATGTTTTTGTTTTTTTTTTCTTCACAAAGAATCTTTACTTTTGACACAGTTTTTTTTCCAGCTTTGGGGAATTTTTCATAAAGCTAGCTCTGTCACACACTCAGACTCTGGTAAAAAAAATTGAAATTAATTGAATAAATTAATCCTGAATGTTTTTCTTCTGTGTGTAAAGTGGAGTTATATAAGTTTATCTGCTGTGGAAATAAAGCCCTAATTCTAATGTCTAATGATCAATATCCCCAGCTGAATGGCTACTAAACCCACATGCTTCTCTTTTTCCGTAGTAATAATAGTAGTAGTAGTCCTTTTAAATGATAGAAGATAAAAAGAAGAAAGGTCTGGTCTGGTTTCAGTTGAGATGGAATTTAGGGTCAAATTACAGTCCAAACCACAGGAAGAAATATTTATGCAGCCCAGTCCACAATCATGTTCCCAACCAACATTTCTTTATTTTGACCAAGTAACAACTCTGAGCTGGTCGTCCAGCTGAAGGAGAAAACTTGTGTAAAACTGTGTATGTACTGTACTGTACTGTAATTCTGGAGTGTTGTGTCTGGGCACTAATGTTGACTTACACACGTGTCCTGTGCTTGTCCCCAGGGTTCGATGACTTCCAGCTGTCCATTCACAGTGACATGGCAACAGTGGCCAAAGCCATGGCCTGTCCAGAGTCAGGTCTGGAGGTGCGGGACAGGATGTGGCTTAAGATCACTATCGCAAACGCCTTCATTGGTACGTGTGTCATCACAGAGAGCATTTGTTATTTACACACTCTGAACCACTCTGTTCCATTAAGTTTCTAAAAAACTCTGGCATGGTCTGAAGTCAATGGAAACCCTCTTATTCCACTGATACAACATCTATCGTCTCATTTCTTTGTAGTAGTTTAGTCATAGCTGTTCTCATAAACAGTGGAAAATATTTATATTTTAAAGGTCATTAAATTAGTTTTGTTTTTTTAAATATCGCTTGGAATATTTAATAAACTGCATGTTTAATGCTGTAGCTCTACATCTCTGTGTCTTCAGGCTCTGATGTGGTGGACTGGCTCTTCCACCACGTGGAGGGCTTCTCAGATCGCCGTGAAGCTCGTAAATATGCCAGCAACCTGCTGAAGGCCGGCTACATCAGACACACTGTGAACAAGATCACCTTCTCCGAACAATGCTACTACGTCTTTGGAGATCTCTGTGGCAGTAAGATCTTTTTATCAACCTTAAACGCGACTGTCTGAGGGGTTTGGAGTGTGTGTCTGACCAACAGCATTAAAGTTACTGGTTATTATCCAATCATGTCAGAGAGCAAAAAAAGAAAATCCTAATTGAAATTGTTGATATTTTTATTCTTAGATATAAAATATACTGGTTTACATGACATGTTTTGTTGATAAATTATCTATGCTGTATTTGGGTTGTTTGAAAGGGGTTTGTACAGTGGGACAATAGAGATTATAGATTCATATCCTTATAAAACCAAGCAGATAGATCATCCCAAAATATACTTTAAATATTTTTTGGGATTTCTGAGCTTTAAAATGGGTCAATATATGCGCACAACAGGACGGTTAAAAGAACTTGATGACAGGCAGTATCTCAACTTTTGTGTTGACCTCTCCCTTCAGACATGACCCACCTGTCTCTCCACGATCACGACGGTTCCAGCGGAGCCTCCGATCAGGACACCTTGCCTCCTCTGCCTCACCCAGGGGCAGCCCCCTGGCCCATGCCCCTGCCCTATCAGTTCCCCATCCCTCACCCTTACGACCTGCCACAGCCCTTCCCTGGTGGACCATGCGCTGGCAGTGCTGGCAGCCAGCACAGTGGTGAGTACAGTCTGGATGTGTACATATTTGGGTTGTACATTTTAAAACAACAAAAGTTGTTCTCTATCAGTGCAGTGGTCTGTATGGTGCAAAATATTATACAGGTTGTGGTAAAGATTTTTTTATTAGTTTTTTTATCAATTACTACACATTTCAGGCAAATCCATTGAAGTGTTGAAAAACACTGGGTTAGTTTAGCCATAAGTTGTCAGTGTTGTATTTAATTTAAAACTTCTTTACTCTTCTTAATCAATTTAGGAAGGTCAGTATTGTACCACTGCTGCGAGGCCTCGCAGTGGTCACATTTATAACTCCATGTGTGCAGTTTTATCTCCGTCTGCTTGTATTTTGGTTGCAGTCACATCTCAGCCTTAACATGTTTGAGGGGATGTTCAGACCCAGCCTGTACAGCGTGGTGTTAGTTATTTTCTATTTGTGTCCCAAACACAGTGACAAACAACGGGGTTTTCAGTGATCTTTGAAGATATGATTAGTCTGACGTAGAAGGAAGAACGAACACAGCTGTTAAATTTAGTTCCCCTGTCTTGTTTTGGGGACAAATTCAGTTGCATCGTCTTTGGTTTGGAGTTCAAAAGATTTCAACTCCTCGTTAAAGACAAGTTTAATGAGGAGAACGAAGAGACTCTGGTTTCACTGTGGTAAAATTGCAACTTGACAATTTGAGGACAACTTCAGGTTTTAAGGCATTGTTAGATAAATAAAAGGGCTCAACTTTAGTACTGTGTTGCATGTCTGAATGCTTTCAGTCAGTGGTTGGAAAAAAATAGGTGCTAAGTATTCTCTCTGGTGGTGTTTGCCAGGTGTCTGCCACATAAGTTTAAACATTTTAGCCCCCATGTCCCAGAGAGATGAGCTGTGTTTTGATGGTCTTTCATTTCTACAACCTGTTGACTTTTTTCACATGAATGCTCACTGTTTACACACAGGTGAAGGTTGTTATAGGTTGATGACTGTTTAAATCAGTTTGCTTCAAAGACCCTACTGACAGTCTGGTTCTGATGAGGGGCGGGTGAGGGGGGAGAAAACACCAGACGCTCTGAAGCGGGTTTATTTACATGTAAAGTTTTGAACGTGTGTCGAAATAGAAAACCAGACATTGTGGTTTTTGGGGCAGCCTGCTTACGCAATCCAGAAATTTACAGAGGAAGAACCGCCGGGTCAACCTCTGACACAAAACATGTCTTATATCCTGTTCTTATTTCATGTTTGCTCTTTATCACCGCTTGGATTTACCAGAGAATAATTATGTTAACATGATACAACTTGAAAATTACGAGTGTTGTTTTATGACATTAAACAAGGAAGATAAATGTTTCCCTTTTATTGTTGGTGCAAAAGTAACAGACACAAAAACTAATCCTTCAAATCCTTACCACTGCCTTTGGACACAGCCTGTTATAGCTGAATTTCACATTCATTGCAAAAATAAAAAAAAGAGTTTTCATTCACAAACCAGTCTTAATTGGCAGTTTACTGTAGTCACAGTCTTTGCTAAAAGCAAACAGGCTGTTTGTGGGAATAAAATGATGATTCGTAATCACCTCTGGGAACAGGCTGGGACTTTGGTCCAGTGAAAGGCGGTGAACACTTTTTGAATGTCTGAATTAGTCACAACCTCTCCTAAGAGTCTAACACTAAGTGGGTCACCATCGTCTGCGTCATTTCACTGGCACCCATATAGGAGAGTGTGGCTCACATGGGGCAAAAATATTTAATGTTGGGAAAAAAAGGACAGCTATAGTTGTTGAAACTTATATCTATTCCTCTTATCTGTCCACAGGAAGCAGTGGTTCAAACTGCAGCAAAAATGAGGGCCGGAAGTCTGGGGGCTCCGGAAGCGAAACTGAGGTCAGGAGCCACCGAGCTCCGAGCGAGCGCTCTGTGGCTCCCCCTAGCGAGCGCAGCATCCGTAGCTCAGTCAGTCACCGCAGTGCCAACTCTCACTCGATAGCCTTTGGCCCAGGCCTTGTTTACGGGCCCCCTGGCCTGCCCCCGCAGCCCTCACATTTATCTACAGCAGCACCAGGTGCCCCACAGGGCAGAGAGCTTGCCACTGTGCCTCCTGAGCTCACAGCGTCACGCCAATCTCTGCGCATGGCAGTGGGCAACAGTGGAGAGTTCTTTGTTGATGTCATGTGATGCAAGTTTTAGGCAGATTAAAGTAGCATTTTTGGCTGACTCGTGTCATTTTATAAAAGCAAAAAAAAAAAAAAAGGACAGCATGAGAGAAAAAGAAGGAGGGAAGATTGCTAGAGCCGCTACCCCAAAGGTTTTTATTCCACTTACCACATGGAAACCAGTTCTGCTGCGTATGCTAAGAAAACAATTCTTAGTTCTATTGCTTTTTTTCCTTGCAGTAGGGCCCGTACTTTCTTCAGTGAAGAAGCCCTATAACTCACTCACTCACTCACGGTGGAACCAAAATGACTTTCTTATTTTACACTTCTTAGTGTGGAAGAGTTTGTGCAAGTGGGGAAAAAAAGCAACAGAGCGGTATTGAGAGAAATGTGACGAGGGAATTAGTGGAAATGCAGAGGAGGGCAGATGACTCAGCAGTTTCTACATGGATGTTTTTCATTTGTTGTTCTCTTCACTCTTCCCTCCCCTCTGCCTTCCTTATCTCACATTCTCTGTGCTCCTCCCCACCTCGTCCACGTCAAAACCAAGACAAAGAAAGAAGCATCTTCCCTCCTTCCCTTCTCTTAATTTCTACATGCAGACCTCTGTCAGGAAAATATCAAAAATATATATACTAAAAAAAGCTCAAATGAACACTAACGGTTGACTTTAATTGTTCTTTTTAAATGTTTGCTTGACTTGAGAGGGGGGGTGGGAGAAATGTATGTAGTGCAAGAGAATGGCAGTCCCTTCTACCGTAAGAATGCATTTCTTTTATATATATATATATACATACATACATATGTGTGTGTGTGTGTGTGTGTGTAGCTGGTCACAAATAGTTTCATTTTCTAATGCTTAACATGAGCATCCAGCTTCGAGAGTCATTTTTACACTACACAGCTGCATTTTCATCTGTTACCAGAGCATTTTTCAGACTCTGTCTTGTGATAATGTTTAATGGAAAAAATCTTACCATGTCTTTCACACTACTCTTTTATTAAAAAAAATGTCTTTTTATTTATAAATATAGTTTTATGACTTAAACATCTCCTCTCCCATTGTTTTTATCTAGTTTGTGTGCGTACGTTTGCAATACAGAGCCTTGAAGCCTCACAGACATGTTTTTTTTTCCTTTTCCGTTAATGGAACCTGAGGTCATATTTGCATTTAAAAGCAGTGAATACCAGACTGTCCAGGCCCAGGAATGTGAAGGTTGGGCAATGTGGTGCACAGATGTTTGTGTGCGTGTGTGTGTGTGAGTGTACATGTGCAGAAGAACGACCTGCATTTGTTTGCCTTAGAACTGAGTGACCTTAAGCAGAAGTTTCCTGTGTTTGGAGTGAGAGAAAAAAAACGTCTGTAGAGTGCTAGTTTCATTCCAATTCAGGTACAAATCAGGTAAACTCAGTGGGCTGCACTAAACCGGACCATCCACTCATCCATGAAACTAAAAGGCAAATGTAAAATAAAAAATCAATTGGGTAACAGGACAGTTTTAGATCCCACTATTACTACTGCTCAGTCTTAGTATTGGTCAAACTATCTCGTACAATATCAAAGACAAAGTCAGCTTTATTGCAGCTTTATTCTTCACATGTACTAGACATACAAAAGAATTGAAATTACGTTACTCATTGTCCCATGTGTAGACAAGACCAGACAATCGTCAAAGTGCAAGACAGGACACCTTAATGTGCCATATATTGTTGGTAGGAGAGTGATCTGGACCGTAGGCAGTCATTGAGTCATTTTAATCAATGTTACTTTTATATATACTCTAGCCACTGACGAACACAGATGATTTATTTGCGAATTTTACATAAAACTAGTAAACCACAGCATGAGCTTTCTTGCTAATTTCAACGTTTTAAATCTGCTGCAATTCAAACTGCTAACTAAGCAAAATTGGTACTTTGATGACATGTCCCAACCTGAGAATGAAATTATATTGTATCCACAATTTAAATATATATAATTTATTTATTTTGGGATTTTTTGTGTATTGCATTGTCATAGTTTGCCAAGTTAACTACAAACTGCAGCCTTTCGTTTTATTTATATTCATAGGAAGCAAAACTTCCTAAAAAAAAGCACTCATTACGAACAGACGCACTGCTTTTGCTAACCGTCAATATAATTTAATAGGACAAAATCATTTTTGACCAACTGCCTTCATAGCTTATCATAACAAGGCCTGGGTGCGGTTTGCACAGTGCTATACAGCCGCGCCTTTTCCTGTCACGGCGGAACGGCTGTGCGTAACGACGGTGGGTCAGCTGACAGCTATCCGAAGGACCTGGAGGAAGGAGCAGAATTAGCGGGTGTGTGTGTGTGAGTGAGAGAGTGAACTGGGACCCTGACGGAAGCCGCACCGACGACAGAGCGGGGAACCGTCGGGTTGAGTTACTAGTGTGAAAGGTAAGGTGTGTTCAGTAATGAATGATGCATAAGGACATGTTGTCAAATAGATAACATTCACTGGGCTGTAGTATCGAAAATAAACCGGCGAAAAGCTTTCGTTGATTGGCGATGCTAATATTAGCACCGTTAGCTTCTGCATTGCTAAGCAGCAGGGATGCTCGACAAGAAACCGGAAATGCCTCCGTTAACTTCATAATAAAAGTTGTCTTTATTTTGGCCCTTATAAGTCGACTTTAGTTATTTGAGGGTAAATCGGGCCATATAATAGGTGTGTGGAACACCATATTAGCACATTCTTGCATATTTCGTGTAGCATAGAAACGCATCTTAATAGTGGATGAGTTTAATTTTTCACCGGAAGTCTTATTTTTCTTGAGCAGGTCGAATGTAATGTTCGCCCCAACATCTCTGGCCAGCTAGCTTGCCAATGTAGGCTAATTTAGCTAACGAGCTCTTATTTGGTCTACCCACAGTCTGTTCGATCACATCTGAAGGTCAGGGGCGAATTAAAATATAACTTCACGAATACATTCAAACCAACGGTTTTTAATTCTTTGTCACGTAACGAATGGGAAAATAAAGATATCCGATGGGTAGGAAATGGCCCGTCTGAGCAGACATCTTGATTCCGGCCAATAAAAGGACAATTGGACCCGCTTAGGTCTGACACTCGTTTAACACCGTCACGACTTGGCGATGTATTGTTATGGAAACATTTTATGTTGACCTCGGACACAAATTGGTGTCTTACAATCCCCCGCAGTCTCTCATTGTGAAACACGTCAGGTCATTTCGAAAAATTTCAAACGTGTCCTTCAGCCCTTTTTTATAAAGCGTCATTTCAAATTGTGGCACATTCTTGTCAGTTACTCGTTTTACGCGGCTCTAGCACATATAAATGAATTACGGATTTCTACGTTGGATATTGGTTTTCTTCGTTAAATTTGCAAAGCAACATGGCACACGAATTGCGACAGTAAAGGCAACAGATTTCTAGCAGGTTCAATGGTGGCATCCTTGAAACTGATCTCTACTAATCTGCATCTAATCTGCCTTTGGAAGAAAAAAACGATTGCGAAAGCGATTGTGGTGACCTGTTGAGTCTCTCTGGTCGTCTGTTAATGTAAAAACATCGTACAATGTAGAGTTGCATACATTCCAACAAAAATATATGTTTATATCCCTAAAAATGCTACCCTACACTAGTCAAACAACTGAATATATATTTTCATATGGAAAAATCACTAAATATTTTCTGTTGTTTTAATAAGTACAATTATAAGCAGTTCCAGCCTTGGTCTACTTTTTCATGCTATTGTCTGTGTGTTTGTACACGCACCATAACCCAAAATGAGTCACCATAAAGAAAGCATTTATGCAATTGGGAATAAAGTGATGTGTGTGCGTTTCTGTGGCAGACAGGGACGGAAAGCGGATGTAAAGGACAAACGCCACGCTGTTCTGTTGGTCACTCCCACACTTTTCACTTCTTTCACTTCTGTCACCCCTTTCCTTTCCCATTTCCTTCCCTTACAGGCTCTTACCCCATCTTCTATCTCTTCACAGGCGAGGTTTGATTTCACCATGGCCTGTTGGGACTGAAAAACAGCCACGATGATAGGAGGATTGTTTATCTACAACCACAAGGGGGAGGTCCTCATCTCCCGCGTCTACCGAGATGACATAGGGTATGTTTCATTTGACACTAAGCTGCTGTGACATATTGTAGCAGATTATACCTCCATCGTCGTGGAGCAACTTCATCTTGATTCTGCTTCCAGATATTTGTCATTTTTATTGATTAGTTGACGCTAAAAGTCGCTCCTCTTCCCGTCTACAATTAGTTAAAACAGCATGAATGATTTTAATGTGAGTTATGAGTTGAGGAAACCTTTTTTCTATAACTGCTATGTTGATTTTGTTACAATTACAAATTATAAAACGTATTAGTCTGTGCTGGTTATAGACAAGGGAGTCCTGTTGGTGTCATAAAACGTTGACCTACAGCCCATGTTTGGACATTTCTCAACATGATGTGAAATGGTTGATATGAGTGTTGGCATCTCTTGACTTTCAGGTTTTTCATGAAAGGGTGGTCCGCAAACCTTAGGTCAGGGGTCACTGCTCAGAATTAGGTTTATGCAACTCAGGGTTTTTTTTTAACATATCCTAACAATAAATTCAACAATTCCAAAACTGTCATTGGCAAAAATAGTGATGAAAGTGTTATTTTCACATCCTCGGTAGTTACACACAATACTGTACACTGCATTGTAAGTGCAGGTATACATTTTTAAAAAACAGTCATTAAATTTAAATCAGGATGATGTGAAGGCAACATTTTCAAGACTGAATTTTAAAGAACATTTTGATAAGTCCAGCAAATTGAATATGAGGTATTAATTCTAAGTATTACATCAAACAAGCCCTGTCATCACCACAGTCATTTATCCATGCTTTCATTTACTCACTCACTTACTTTCTGCGCCTTGATTCTCAGCGTCACTGCAATTAAACATCCACTGTTTGTATTGATTTAAGAGCAATACATTTGCCAACACATACACTGGCTCTGTTCTAGGTTTACACAGCAGTGTGGGCAAAGCCTGGGTGGAGGATCTAAGTGTGCACGTATGGGAACAGAAATGATGAATAATGTTAGCTTCACCTCACTAACAGCACGGGTGTACATACAGTACAGCATGCACTGGTGTAAGCCACTGTAAAGAAACCTTTGGAGTTGAATTAGAGCAGTGTCTGCAGGTTCCACAGTAAAAACTTGGTCCTTGGAGGATTCTTTTCGGCTATTGTCTTGTTTCTAGGCAGCAAGATGTTATTGTGGTTGTGTTTAATTTTTATCATTGCTCCGCCCTTGTCTAATAGAGGACAAATACAGCCACATGTCTCAGGGAGGCAACGTTTCTGTCCAAATCTAAACACGTTTACTAACTGGTTCTGATAAAAGATATGAGAACAGGAAGAGTTGATTAGAGTTTATTAACACTGTCGTCCTAGTTGAGTGGCCTCATTTTATCTACAGTAGAAGACTTTAACGTCACATCTCCGATGTTACCATGTTGGTAAATCACCTCTATCTGGTTCTGCTGTCTGGTGATTATTCTTGGTTCTGCAGCCCTGTAGGCTGAAACGGGGACATTTGGTTGCCCTACTCTCCGCAGTGTATGCGCTACATTATAATGTTACTATAGTGTGGAAACTGTTCACTTGAAGTGACATCAGAAATTCTGATCACCATTATGTTGTTTTGAGGATAAGAGGAAAAAAAAGTTCAAAAATAAAATTGTCTCCTACATACGTTTTTACCAAAAAAAACGCATCATAAAAAATACCATGTTATTCGCTCATTCTGTGTACATGATGCACGAAAATGTCTTCTGTGCATTTTTGTCTCCTCCCCCTTTACTTCATCCGTGTTTCCTCTCTATCCTCTGTACCATCACTCTCCATCTGTCCATGTCGGCCCCTGTAGGAATAGGTAAGAGAAGCTCCGCTGTATCTAGCATGTCTCTCCCCTCTCGCGGCCACTCACCAGTGACCTCCTGACCCTCCCCCTCGAGGTGCATGTCCACCGATTCCACAGCCGAGCTCCTGATACTTCCTCCGAAGCATGAGTAAATTGTCATGATTTCACGGCCTTGAATAAAACCCCCAGCTATTAAAAACTGAAAGTCCAAACAACAACAACAACAAAAAATATCGGCAGCCACCTGATAATTGTGGCTCGCTGTCAGCTTTACCAAATGCTTAAGCATGTAGTCTGAGCATGGGGTATGACTGGTAATATAAACTTTTTTAATGACTTTATTGTCTATTGTTCATGGAAAAAGCAGATGGTTAATTAATTTTAAATAATTTTCTGTTCATTCAAAAGTTATATTCATTTCAGAAATAAGAAAAGATACACATTGTATCAGACAGTGTAAAAGAAAGTGAGCAGTTTGTACAAAGGTTTGGTTTATTTTAAGGAAAAAATGTTTCATTTTTCTGCTTCTCTTATTCCAGTTCTTGTTTCTTGATCCTGGAGTTTGAACCCAGACACTAGATGTTCTCAGGCATCTCTCAGTAGAACCCGAGGTTCTTACTCTTGTCAGAACATGCTGTGTCCCTTTGTGCTAATCCCTGTAATTTCCAAATCCCTAGATTTCAGGGCTGAGCAAACTTTAAGACGAGATGCACTCTGTTTTTGTTTCTTTTTAACAAAATAATCTGCTTGTAAATTGGATGGGATTCCAGTGTATGTTAAAGAAACATTTAATTAAAAAGGAAAAAATAAATATGTGTATTAGTTTTTGTTTTGTCTGCTGTAAGTCCAGTTAATTATAACGCCTTAGCTCCACAGTCAACTCAAGGTTTTTCTCTCGTCTCCCCCCATAATTATCACCATTAACACTCAACAATGCTCCTTTCTGTGAATGTAGAAGATCTGTCTTCTCTCTGGTGGTTTAAGAAAGACTGATTTAGGTGAAATTTTTTTGTTTGAGGTTCATCCAACAAAATGGACGTAGAAACGTCTGTTGACAGCGGTCAGATTTAAAAAAAAAAAAAAAAGACCAAAAATATTTCTCATCAAATGTTTTCTCCCCACTTGTCGCAGACGTAATGCAGTGGACGCCTTCCGCGTGAACGTGATTCATGCTCGGCAGCAGGTCCGATCGCCCGTGACCAATATCGCCCGCACCAGTTTTTTCCACGTCAAGCGTTCCAACATCTGGTTGGCAGCAGTCACCAAGCAGAATGTCAACGCAGCGATGGTGTTCGAGTTTCTCTACAAGATGTGTGATGTCATGACGGCCTACTTTGGCAAGATCAGCGAGGAGAACATCAAGAACAACTTTGTGCTCATCTACGAGCTGCTGGACGGTAAGACGCGTAGATGCGTTTGACATCCGATTCTTTGACTTTATTCTAAGCATATTGGTATCAGTGGGTGACGTGTAACACTCTGTAAAAACTCTCCTGTGACGCTCTTATGTCACAACACGTTTCTGTGTTGGCTTACACAGAGATCCTGGACTTTGGTTACCCTCAGAACTCAGAGACTGGAGCTCTGAAGACCTTCATCACCCAGCAGGGCATCAAGGGACAGGTCAGTGAGACGAACAAACACTCTTACAGTAATCTGATTTCTGTGGATGTTTATTCTGGTTGGTATTTTTTCTAAAAACACATTCCTAATAAATATTGTGGGTTTTTTTAATCTGTAAACTAATATTCCTATTGAACTGATCTGGGATCAGAATTTTATGATGCAGCCACTTAGTTGTGTTACAGTGAAGTCAGATTACACACTATGATTGTGTTCACACTGTGCCAGATTAAGGGATTACCAAGGTGTAAAACTTGTCATAGGTTCACAGACAGACGAGATTAACTAGTCTGTGATGCTGCGTATATTGTTATACATATTGTGAGGATGTTGATAGAAGACAGGCGTGACCTTGGTCTGAGACAATAGTGTCTTTGAAGACTCCATCACCCAATAGTGTCTGGTGTGCTGCCTGTTGGTGTTCTGAAGAAATAACATGAGGCCTGTAGACTTAATTTCTTTTTAATTTTTTGGTTTTGTTTTTACTTGTTTTTCTTCAAAAGCATCAGAATAAATTCTTTTTATTATTATTTTTTTTTCCTTTCCTCAAACTGTGGCCCTGGATTCTTCAAATTCCAGCACCAGGTAAAAACATTGTTCTTTATTTTAGTACAGTAATACTCTCTTCACTGCCATGTTTCTTTGACCTTTTTTGTAAGCACTGACACAGAGTCTGTTGTTTTCTGCAGACAAAAGAGGAGCAGTCTCAGATCACCAGCCAGGTGACGGGGCAGATCGGCTGGCGACGCGAGGGCATCAAGTATCGCCGCAATGAGCTTTTCTTAGATGTGCTGGAGAGCGTCAACCTGCTCATGTCACCACAAGGTATGGTGTGAAAGATTAAGAACAAATATATACCAAAAAAGTAAATATTGCAAATCCTTTCCCTAACATCTGAGAGTTGGTGTTTTCTCTCCCGTGTTCTCTTAGGTCAGGTCCTGAGTGCCCACGTGTCGGGCCGCGTAGTCATGAAGAGCTACCTGAGTGGAATGCCCGAGTGTAAGTTCGGGATGAATGACAAGATCGTCATCGACAAACAGGGCAAAGGCGGAGCATCTGACGATGCAGGAAAGAGGTGAGACCAAGTAATACTGAATCAGCAGACCGATGTGGAGAAAAAAAAATCAGCTTTAATTTTTGTCTACTGTATGTTGGAGACAGTCAGGCCTTATTCCCTGTTTAAATCATTGGGTCAAAGCTGTACTGTATTTGGACAGCCTGTTCTCCAAACCCTGTTTGTGTGATTGTTTAAGGTTGTTGAAATTCAGACTTTATGATTTTGATCTTCTCGAATTTTCTTTCCTTTGGATACGTCTCTCCATTCTGTCCCTCTCTTTCTTTTCTATGTGCTGTACCTCAGTGATTTAGGGGGAGGAAGGTACTGTACTGACCAATGTCCACCACCTGTCAGCTCAACACACACACAAATATACTATACACATATAATGAAAGCACATTTTGATCCAACAGTTCTCATGCACCGTTGCCCTCACACTCATTCCAGTGTTGGTTGTTGTGGTAGAATGACTAGTTTGCTTCTCTGACCCCACACCCACCCTGCTTGTCTTGTAACCCATCACTCAAACACCTAACAGTGACTCTGTGTTTTCCTTTCTTTTCAACATTAACCTGTAAAGTGCACGTCTAGCTGTTTGTCTTTGATCATGAGCAGTGGTTGAGGGATAGTAGTAGTAGAAGTTTAGGAATTTAAAATTCCTCCCGTAAAGGAGTAAAAAAAAAAAAAAGGACGAATAGTTTACACTTTCTGATTATTGTTTTTGTCTGTTTGTTTCTCTGTTCCCACAGTGGAAAGCAGTCAATTGCCATCGACGACTGCACCTTCCATCAGTGTGTGCGTCTTAGCAAGTTCGACTCTGAGCGCAGCATCAGCTTCATCCCGCCTGACGGGGAGTACGAGCTCATGAGGTTAGAACAGTGGTTCCCAAACGGTTTTGGCCTGTGAGCCCAGTTTGACATCGGTTTTAATCGTAGCATAGCATAAAAAGAAAAACAATTAGTTGAAGGACTTTATTTATTATTAAATTCTAGACACACTGTTTTAAGATGGAATATGAGACAATACTCCCAACTGTATTTAATCAGCCTCTTTTTCTTCTTACAGGTATCGCACCACTAAAGACATCATCCTGCCATTCAGGGTAATCCCTCTGGTCCGGGAGGTGGGTCGCACTAAACTGGAGGTCAAAGTGGTCATCAAGTCCAACTTCAAACCCTCCCTGCTGGCTCAGAAGATCGAGGTAAGGAATTTCAAGACCAAAATGTATACTTCAATAGAGTGATGTGAAGAATGGAGGTGTACTTGCTCTGACTGAAGGGGTTTAATGTCCGTTCTCATGTCCGCAGGTGCGCATCCCAACACCCCTCAACACCAGTGGAGTGCAGGTGATCTGTATGAAGGGAAAGGCTAAATACAAGGCCAGTGAGAACGCCATCGTGTGGAAGTGAGTAACAGTTGTCTTTTAAAGAACATCACTCATCGAAAACTCTTCGTTGCTGCGGACACCGTTCTCTGTTAATTATTGTACCTTTAACAAAGCTGTGTGTGTCTCTTTGTGTGCGTGTGTGTAGGATCAAACGCATGGCTGGGATGAAAGAGTCTCAAATCAGCGCTGAGATCGAGCTCCTGCCCACCAACGATAAGAAGAAATGGGCTAGGCCTCCGATCTCTATGAACTTTGAGGTAAGTAGTCAATAAATGTAGTACAAATAAAGTTTCATTTCCTCCCATTTAAGTCACAAGGTTAGAGGTGTGATACCATGGCTGAGTGGGTAGCTGTGTTTTTCTCTTTACTCACTCGTATGGTCTCTGCAGGTTCCCTTCGCACCCTCTGGTCTGAAGGTGCGTTACTTGAAGGTGTTTGAGTCCAAGCTGAACTACAGTGACCACGACGTCATCAAATGGGTGCGATACATCGGCCGCTCGGGCATCTACGAAACACGCTGCTGAAGTTCACTGGGCGACATGGCGGCGCTGACCACTTTTCATCCCATCTACCTGTTAAAGATTTTTTTTCTTTGTCCTATTCCTACTTTGTCTTTCTCGTCCTTCCTCCTATCCCCCGTAGCTCCTCTCACCTCCCCTTCTCAACTATGTGTTGGAGATTGAAATTACATCCTGTATGAAAAAAAATATGGTTAAATGCACAGATATATGCAAAATGTGAATCATTGTATCGTATATATCTCGTAGTGATAAGTAAAAACTTGTAAACCACAGAAAGAAAAAGACAAGTGATTTTAGGGGAGCCAGGGGGAGAGATGTGGAGACACCTGCTGGTGTCTTTGAGGGTTGCTCTGTTGTCTTAATTCAGTGTTACCGTTCCACTCTGCAGTTCCTGTAGAAGTCCCACTTATTGTACAAGAATCCCTGCTAAGATGATGTGTAGCTGTTGTGGTTTATAATGAATCCTGGTGTAGTTCCTGTAAATGAGCTCCTGTCTCAGTAAAGTCTAACCTTCAATTTGAGCCGCATCGTTGTCCTGATTCGTGTCACACACTGGCTTGGTATTCAACCTCCGTTTTATTTTTCCTGAAGTGGTTGACATTTGGATCTGTAGTTGGGGGAAAAACAAAGAGGGAGAATTCACAATGACTGGTTTGTCTGTATGCTTTTTAGAAATCTGTGCAGTCTGTACTCTTGCATCTCCAGGCAGTCAGAGAATACGAATCAAATCCAGAGGAGCATTCCAGACAGTTTGAAAGTTTTACCGTTGTCCAGTTTTAAAGTGCTGTGGCTCCCGGTAAACATTCTACCTGTCCCTTTAAGCACTAATATTACTTTTGTCACACTTTTAATTCGAAGGCCAGGCCCTTGGAGTGTTTGTGTGTGTGTGCGTATGTGTGCGTTAGCAGTGAGGTGAGGTCTCCCCCTGGTGTTTGCCTCCACACTATCTGCTTCTTCATGTTTGTAGCCCTGGTGACTATTCTATCCAATAAATCTGAATATGTAACCAAACTGTCTATTTCTGTTTTTATTTCTCAGATGAGGCATGGGCATTCAATGTTGGTTTTCGGCCTTGCTGCTTACGTGCAGTGATTTCTCCAGATTCTCTGAACCTTTTGATTATATTATGGACGTAGATGATGAAATCCCTAAATTCCTTGCAATTGTACATTGAGAAATGTTTGACTATTTGCTCACAAAGATGTTCACAAAGTGGGGATCCCAGCACCATCCTCGCTTGTGAATGACTGAGAATTTCAGGGAAGCTCCTTTTATACCCGATCATGGTAGGTAATCCTTCTCCAGGTTCTTGGGATTTGTTTTCTTGGCATTTTTCACTTTTAGCTGAACACAACTTTAGGTATTGAATTTATTGATAGATTTTTCTCTTTGTTGGATGTGATGTATTTGCAACCTGTTCTAGTTAGAAAGTTCAGAACCATTGTATGAACTGCACTGATCGAACTTCAAATGGATCTTCTTCCATGACTTATTCTGTAAATCATTTTATAATTTAAATTTCTGGTGCATTCTCTTTCTGTTTCCCTCTCTCTCTCTATACAGTAAACCCTTGTTTTTCGCGGGGGTTACGTTCCAAAAAGAACCCGTGATAGGCAAAATCCGTGAAGTAGAAATCTTTATTTTTTTACAATTAAATACTCAGAAAAAGAAGAGAAAGAACGAACAAACCATTTTACAGTCTCAACCATTTGTTTCACAAATAAAGTAAAATAAAAGTACTTTAGAAACGTTTCAACAAATAACTTCTGTAATGTACTGTCAAATAATAATTTTAATCATCAACGTGAACAGAAGGCTTCAAATTGCGGAGATTAGCACCGCCCACCGTGAACGGGAGAAAATTAAAAATGATTATGAAAAAAATACAAATTACCTGTACAGTCGGACAAATAGTGACTCAGCTTTATTTCACTGCTGTCTTCCTTATGTTTTTTTCTTCCTTCTTTATGGAACGAACG